TCAACAACTTCATCCTGGACCTGGTCTTCTCTGTCACACTTCCTCCTTCTCTTCAGTGTCACTGTCCAGGCTGCTGTTATTTATGCTGTGACATGTTTTCAAGGTTTCACCCGTCACTCCACACTGTTTGTGAGCCTGCGGTCTGCTCTCTTCTACTTTGTGCTGATGTTGGTTAATAGTTTATGGTCTTATAGTGCTGTTCTCCCTTCAGTGGACACTCACAAAGTTTGCATTAAGAGACTATTTGCCATACACACCAATACAGACACTGAAGGCAAGGCATATTAAGTGTCTTGCCCAAGAACACAACATAAGGAGGGAGACTGTGGATTTTGACCTGAGCCACATTTGTATTTGTAGCACTTCATATTGAAGTGATGAACAAGCCTGGTCTTTTCTATCTGCGTAGCTATACATATGTGCCCTCATCAAATCCATGTGTGGTCAGATATGCTGACATCAGTGAATGAGGCACTATTGATACTCTGCAGCTGATGTCTTCAACAGCCCCTGGGGTGGCAATGCTAACCAAAGGCACTGTTGTGTCTGAAGCGCTGTGATTTAAATTAGACTTTAAGATTTTTTTTGTCTAACCTTAAAGAACTGGTATAGCTTGGACTACAGCAGATGAGCTGATTTTGTGCTATTAAACAAACCCTTCAACAACTTACATGAACCATGAACACTTGTGATGATCCCAGGCTCAAGAAGATATGCTTAAATCCATTTTGTTTTCAGACTTTTGGATCTTAAAATTTGTGCATTGTGTCACCATAGAAACTGCTCAGCTGTCCACCATAGACATACACGTAGTATACCTCCAGCATTTCAATATAAACATCAAATCATGTTAAGATTCTTTAAGTTGATTCACTTTGATACTGCCCCTTTCCTAAATGTTGAGGACCGTATTGTATCTCCTGGGGACATGTCTAAACCATTGTCAGCTGTTCATTTGATTGGGTTTCAACAGGGCGCTTCCGTTTCTCACCCAGGCTCAGTCAACACTATTGATCCCTTTTAAAGTGATATTCATTGCAGTCACCTGACCAAACACACACAGAACAAGTTATTAAATATGCCAGTATATAATATAATATAATATAAAAAACTAAAAGAATTTAACCTTTGGCAAGTTCAGGAATCTAATCACAGAGGGAATAAATGGCACAGAATACCATTTGATTCTGATGAAAGGCCTCTACCTGGTGTTGGTATCTCACTGGGAGAACATTCAGCTTCAAACATGACTCCTCCAAAAAAAAAGAATCAAAACTAACCACTTTGCCCTTATGTATCTCTGACAAAAGGTCTTTTCTTTGTTTCTTAAATGGTTAGCTTGATAGATTATATCCAAGATTAAACCCACATATAACACATACAGGAGACAAGAAAGAATGAATGTTACTAAAACACGTAGAGTTAGCATGTCTGTTTGTGGCAGGCAGAAATATAACACAAAAAATGTAACATGTTGCACATTTAAGTATGAGTAACTACACAAAAGTATAAGAATATAAAAAAATTTGCTCTTGAGGTAGAACTAATCATAACATGACATTTTAAGCAAGAACTCCCAAAAATCATTGTTCATTGTCCATTCAAATTGTTGCAGTTCTTAACTATAGTGCTCAAAAAATTAAAGGAACACTTTGAAAACACATCAGCTCTCAATGTGAAAAAGAAATATGTTGGTTATCTATACAAATATGGACCGAGCAATGTCTTAGGAGCATAAGGATGCCACCTCTTTTAATGAAATGAACAGCAGGTGCCCTAGAGTGGCAACAATGAGACAGTTATGTAGAGGTCATTTGAAGTTTCCTCTCTTGGTCTTTTTTGGCTGGTTTTCTGCTAGTGCTAGCTTTGGGTAAAATGATTATCACTACTAGGAGTATGAGGCAATTCCTTAACCCTACAGAGGTTGCACAGATTGTTCAACTTCTCCAGGGTGGCATATCTGGGTGTGCTGTTGCAAGGGATTTAATGTGTCTCCCTACACAATCTTCACAACATGGAGATTTCAGGAGACAGGCAGTTACTCTAGGAGAACTTCCTGTAGTAGAGCATCATGAAGGTCAATTGGCATTTTCAACACCAGAATTGGCAAGTCTGCTACTGGTGCCCTATGCTTTTCACAGATGAGGGCAGGTTCACCCTGAGCACCTGTGATTATGTGAAAAAGTCTGAAGAAGGCAAGGAGAGCACTATGCTGCCTGCAACATCGTTCAGCATGAGCAGTATGGTGGTCGGTCAGTTATGGTCTTGGGAGGCATATCCATGGAGAGACACACAAATCTCTACTGGTTAGAAAAAAGGCAGTCTGAATGCTATTAGGTATCGGTATGAAATCCTTGAACCCATTGTCATAGCCTACACTAGTGCAGTAGGTCCTGGGTTTCTCCTGATGCATGACGATGCCTGGAACCATGTGGCAAAGCGTATGTAGGCAGTACTTGGAGGATGAAGGGTTACAGTTGAATGGCCCTCAAGATCCCTTAATTGAACCCCAATAGAACACCTCTGGGACATTATGTATGGGTCCATCAGACACCACTAGGTTGCTTCTCAGACTCTACAAGAGCTCAGTGATGCCCTTACACAGATCTGGGAGGACATCTCACAAGACACCATCCGTCATCTCATTAGGAGCATGCCACAACAAAACATGCTTGCAAGTACATCGGGGCCATACGAGATATTGTGAAGCATTTTTGAGTTGCAGAAATTAAATTTTACCACAATGGACTGGCCTGCTACATCATTATTTCACTTAGATTTTCAGGGAGCCTTTAAAATGAAGGCCTCTGTAGGCTGAAAATTTTATTATATTAAATTATTATTAAAAAAGGTGACCTCGTTTTGTTCCTAACACATTCCCTGTTCATATTTGCAGTGATATCCAACATATTTCTTCACATTGAGATCTGATTTGTTTTCAAAGTGTTTCTTAATTTTTTTTTTGAGCAGTGTAGTTTTTTTGATGCATGTTTGATACAGTTCTTCAGATAAAAAGAAATTCAACACAATTTATTCAGGCAATCATACAAATCAAATCAGGAAGCACATTCAGTTAAAAACACTGAATAAGACAAATGAATGTAACATAGCCAGTTGCTATTGAATAGTTATAGTGATGTGTTTTGTGAGTTTTTATATATATATATATATATATATATATATATATATACACACACACAGTCAATCTTTGTTTGTTTGTTTATTTTTAGATATGCATTTAAAAAAGTCAAGACAAAACAATAAAGACAATTACATAATGTAATGCAGCATATATAGCATAAAAAAGCCAATAATGCAGATTCATAATCTTCATATAGAAGAAAATATATGTTCGAAAAGGAGGGGGTGAAGTATAATTTTATTTATTCCTGTCTTTTACCCATTGTTAAATAACATTTTTATATATTCAGTTTCCTCATCATTTGATGAGATAATGGAAATTTACATAATTCTTCTTTTAAATAGTATTCATACAATATTGTTACCCTTTTTGCATTTAACATCTCCATCTATTTCATATCCCATAAAGATTTTTTTGTTTCTTTTTTAACTGCTTTATGTGCCAGAAGCAGTGGCAGGAGTTTGATGAAGGTGTTTTTTCTCAGCGCTGAGCAGCTACAGATCTCAGTGAGAGCTCGGGGGGTTGAGTTATTTTGCTGGCCTGATAAATTATTCAGAAGTTTTGTTCAGTGGCCATACACACTTAATATGACTTTCCAGTCCAGAGAGCCCACAGTTGTGTTCAGTAGATATGCCTGTTCTAAACGTCTTGGTTGATTAAATATATTTTTATCATAAAAGAGAGGTTATAGACAAATAAATTAAGAGGATTTCCTTTTCAGACATTCACTGTTCTTCAATAAAATGGATGCACTGCTCCATTCCAGCAAGAGTTGTTACTGTGCTCACAGTCAGTTCAGTTCCTGGATGGAACTCAGTGTGACCCCACCAAAAATGGAATCCTATGCAGGCACAGATAATCATGCAAACTCCACACTGAAAGGTCCCATACTTGTGTACGTTCACAGTATAAATATATAATTTAAAATGATGATGTTCATTATATCTTGAAGAATGGTGAAACCATCCATTGTGCATAGGACCATCGTAATGGTTTTCAGTCCATTCAGACTTACATGAACCAAAGCAGTGTTAATGGGAAGGCAATGATACACCATTCATCAGAACACAGAGTGACATAAATCAGGGGTCACCAAACTTTTTTCTCTGGGGGCCACATTATCGCTCCTGACTGTGATGGGGCTTGTGTCAGGTAGTCTGTATAACAGAATTGTATGACCCTGACAACACAGATTTTATTATTTGAAAACTGCCACACTTCAGATAAACTGCACGGTCCTCGCACTGAACAAAACAAATATCAGTTGTCCACTGTTCTTGGAAAACGCAGCACTCTCTGTCAACTTTTCATACTTTAAACTTGCCATTTTGTTGTCTTTAACTGCACTACAGAAGTCTGTGTGTGCATTGACTGTCACTGTTTGATCTCGAGCCTGTCAGATGACAAAAATTCAGCTTCAAATGTAAATATGTCATATCATTATTTAAATATACATACTTCATATAAATATAATTTTTCATTGAAAAAAAATCATGATGCAGATGTGTTGTTATTTGCCAAAAAGTAATGCAGTAGCGACAACTTTTGAGGATTGCCTCATAGGTCTAGTTCAGGTGATGGGGGCGGATTGGTTGGGTGACCGGTCAAAGAGGCATGGAGGGCCGGAGTTGGCCCGCAGGCCTTTGTTTGATGACCCCTGACATAAATTGTTACCTAACTGAACTGTTTCCATTCATTAGATTATTAAAAAAATAATAATATTTCATAATGTGGCATCCAAGTAAGGAACCGATGATGGGCCTTGGGTGTTCAATACTAGGCAACATTTATCTTAGGTTAAATTTTGTCATAAACTCAATTTTTAAAATGCACCGTGCTTCCTGTTTCTTATTTCTAGCTGCTGTTGAGGATCTTGGAGTTGCTGCAGATGTCGTAGACTCCATCACTCCTTCAGAACAGATTTCAGAAGAGTCCTTTACTGAAACTGCACCAACTGCACCTCCTCCCCCTACAGCTGCTCCTGCTCCTAAAGACAATACCCTCAGTCCAAAACCTGCTCCTGAACCAACTTTAAAACAGCAACCTCCAGAAAAGGCAAAAGAGACAATCATTAATAAGAATGTCTCAAAACTGAGTTCTACAAAAGTAAATTCCCCAAAGCCAAGCATAGCATTCACCTCCCCAGCCAAACCAATACCCTCACAACCCATCACAAAACAGACTAAACCTCCAGAAACTTCACCCCCTGCTCCACCTGTCAATAGACTACATGAAACAGGTGCTATTATGGTCAAAAAGACTGCTTTTGTTATACCAAAGAAGACCCCAGCACCCCAAACTCGATCCAACCAAGTACCTCCACCTAGCCTAGAGCCTACCAAAAAAACGTCCCCTGGTCCAAGCCTAGAGCCCACCAAGAAGCCCTCCCCTGCTCCTACTTCTGTGGTTCAACCAGAGACCCGAAATCTGCCCGTGCCTCCTGCCCCCAGCGCCCCCTCGTCAAGACCACCATCGCAGCCCAATAACCAAATCAGGCAAAGTATCCAGCGCTCTCTAGTCGGCATCCTGTTCAAGAGGTAAGAAATTATTCTGGAAACATGGGTGGTTTTCAGATTTTAGAAAGTGATGATGTCTTACTACTATGCCTAGTATGAGTGTTGGTGGTCGGAATAGTGCAGATTGGCAGCCGTCCATCTGTATACTTTAGGCCAGCTGTGACTACCACCACTGAGGAGTGAGGAGTGAGGATGACTGACTATGACCTTTAGGCTCTTAATGTAATGTAAATTGTTTTTAATCAGTTGCCAACATACTAGTATGTGTCCATCTCTGCAGAGTGTGTGACAGTGAGGAGCTGGACATGTCTGAAAATGACGTTGGAAAACTTGTCACAAATATTGAGACAGAGATGTTCAACATATTTCGTAACACAGACAGCAAATATATGAATAAGTATCGTACTATAATGTTCAACTTGAAAGATCCAAAAAATAAGGTACAGTTACATTTACAAGTGTGTTTTATATTTCATGTTTACAGTGATTTTAATTGTTATTTTTATAATAATTTGTTTTTTGGTCATTGTAGGGCCTGTTGTTTCGACTGGTGCAAGGAGAGATCAGCCCCTTCAGACTGGTCAGAATGAGCCAGAAAGATATGCAGGCAATACAGCCTCCAGAACCTCCTAAGGAGGTACCAGTACTTATACTGATAAGTCTATGCTGTAATCTAATAATATACTACTAGTGCATGATAATGATATAGTAAAAAAATAATAACCAGAAAAATGTAACTTAATAGAAGTAATGCTATATGCATATTTTTTTCTTTAGGTGAAGGCCACAACATCTGTGAGAGTTTCACTGCAAAAGCCTGAACCAGTGAAGCTAGATTTACCCAGTTTGATTCAGACCAGAACTGATAGGACTAAGGTGCATACATTTTAAACAATTACTTCAGAAAAATAGCGTGTTATATGCTGTTTTTAAATTTGAATAATGTTTTCTTTGTAGAATGTGCCTTTACTGGAACAAAAGAAAACTGTCCCTGAATCTATTATAAAGTCAAAGATGAGCCAGTCCAACCAAGGAGGGGGTGCTATACCTGATATTCTCACTTGTATGCTCAAGGACACTACAGCAGAACATCATAAGCACCTATTTGACGTCAAATGCAAAATCTGCACAGGTCAGTCATGCATGACGTCACAATTTCAGATTGAGGCTAGAGAACAATTTAATTGTTATGGCTCAATGGCCTTCCCATTAGGGATGGGCAATATGCTAAATTATTAATATCACAATTTTTTTTAGGGTAATGATTCTTGTTTTATTATGTTACTATGTTTTATATTGCCTTTAGCAGGTAATTAAAATCTACCTGTTGCTTAACTCTGAGCATGACGAAATTTTTAAGATATTGTGAAAAAAAAAGTTCAATCAGTAAAGTTAATTCTTGCTTGTGAAAGATATTAACTGTAAATAAACTAATTCCAAACTTTTGCTATTAAAGAATTCTAGCCTACATCAATCTTCATTTTAAACTGTGGACCCTTCGTCATGATAGGATGCCACATGAACCTATCCTAACTGTTTTGTCAGTGCCTTGCCAATTCCCTGCTTTATCTATAGGTCAAATGCCACAAGATGAAGTGGGAGAGCCTGTGCAGAAAAAAAAGAGAGTTTCCGAGGAGAAGCATGAGCCTTTATGGAAAAGGTCCAAAGGAGAGGACTCCCCTCTCCTAGCCCCTCCTGACTCCCCGGACATGGACTCACCTGTGCCTCATTTCACCATGGGCTCTCCGGTTCTGACCATCGTAGAGTCTCCCGCTTCACCCACCACCCAAGACTCTCCCGCCTCCCCCTCCATGGATACACCCGCCTCACCTGTCATGGAGTCCCCTGCATCCCCAAGTTCTGATGATCGACAGTCAGCTCCAATGAAGTCATACACACCAGTGGTCATTCCAGCTGTTTCCACGGTAACCATAACAAGACGTGATCCTCGCACTGCAGCTAATAGATATGCTGCTCTGACCAACAGTTCAGCAGCTCTGAGTGATAGAGAAATTCAGAAATCAGACTCCTACTTTTCTTTAAATGACACTCCTGCTCCACCTGTGTCTCTCCCCTCTGCCACAATATTACCCAAATCTATCCTCATGAAACCATCACATTCAGGAGATCCTAGACTTTATGGCTCATCCTCACGGTAAAATGATAGTTTCACCATTTCAAATATAAAAATAGGTATCATGCAGTTTATGTAATGTGTATGATTTTCTTTCAGAAATCCATCTCCTAAAATTTCTTGTGAGAGTGGGACTCCACAGTTTCTTTCAAAGCAGGACATTCTCTGGAAAGGCTTTTTGAACATGCTGACCATTGCAAAGTTTGTCACAAAAGGATACTTGGTTTCAGGCCCAGCTGAACATTTAAAAGCGGTATGGTAATATTCAGTGTCTGTGATGTGTCTTATAGTTTTCCTCTCTTGTTTGATTGTTGATTTTTGTTGTTGTCAGGACCTACCTGATACAATACAGATTGGTGGGCGGATTTTACCAAAAACTGTTTGGGACTATGTTGCAAAACTGAAAACCTCAGTTACAAAGGCAAGATAAACATGTTGAATGTTGATTTTAAAACAAACATTAATGCATGTAAATTCTTTATATTTTTATTAGGAGTTGTGTGTCATCCGATTTCAACCAGCCACTGATGAAGAGGAGGTTGCCTATGTCTCATTGTTCTCATACTTCAGCAGCAGAGGGCGCTTTGGTGTTGTAGCAAACAACAGCCGTTCTATAAAAGACATGTACCTATTTCCACTAAGTGCAAAAGAAGCTGTCCCAGCCATACTTCAACCTCTTGAAGGACCAGGTAACATAATAGTACTCAAGAATGTAATTTCATTTAGAAAAGGTAAACTGATTGAAAAACTAAGGTTTACTTATGTCACTTTTATCAGGTTTTGAAAAGAACCGTCCAAATCTTCTTCTAGGCCTTGCAATCATTCAAAAATCAAAACGTCCTGGAAGCTTGTCGACAGAACTTGAAGAAAAGCGTCCCAAAGTGTCAATGTCCTCTGATCCCTCGTGGATACCGAAACCTCCAAGTCTTTATGGTTCAAACAAAGAAGACGACTTCCAGCCCTATGATCCAGAAATTCCCATAAGCATAACGCCTCCAAGTTCACCTCCCAAATCAAATTTTAACTCTACCTCTGTTACAACCACATCTGTAGCATCTGTCTCTCAGTCTAAAACAAGCAAAGAAAGCTCTTCATCTAAAAGCAATACAGCAACCTCCAGTAATGAAACGCCACTACAAACAATATTAAAACAATTATTTTCAACCAAGCAAACAGAGGCGAATGTATCTTCTGATGCAAGTAGCACTGCAAAAGCAGCCCGATCTAAGAAATGTCCTTTGTCTATGGTAGATCCAATAGTACAGCAGTTTGGAGGGAAAACAACAGTTAAAGAAATAGAGGAAGAGGACAATGATGATTTAGATCGACCGTATGATCCAGAAGAGGAGTATGATCCTGTTGGTGGATATGGTGTTGTTCCCAAAAGTAGCATAGACATTAAAGAGAATATCCCTGAATTTACAGAAAATGTTAATGATGATGTTGCTTATGATCCGGAGGATGAAACAATCTTTGATGATATTAGAAATGAAAATACCTCCAAAAACATCTCAGATACAACTCAGGTGCCAAAGCCAAACTCGCCTACAATTCTAGATTCTCCCCAAGTGACACCTGCTCCAGTTTCTAAACCTAGTCCGACCCAAATTGTTGCCCCATTTGCTGCCCCATCTGCTTCAGCTGCTGCTCCACCTGCTCCTCCAGCTGCTGCTCCACCTGCTCCTCCAGCTGCTGCTCCATCTTCTCCTCCAGCTGCTGCTCCAGCTGCTGTAGCTTACGCGGTGCCTACAGGCACTGTGGTCATATCAGCTGAAACCCTGACTGAACAACAGCGCATGCTTGAGGAACTGAACCGGCAAATTGAAGAGCAGAAACGACAATTAAGAGAACAGGAAGAGGCTCTGCGTAAACAGAGAGAGGCTGTGGGGATGTTTATGGCTCAGTTTTCAGTCTCTGATTCGCTTGTATCTCCGTCATCATCAGCGCTGCCTCTTAACAAACTTGTAACTTTGCAGGGTGGCGCAACGGAACCGGGCAACAGTCCTGTTTTGGATACTACATCAGAAAAAGATAACTCTGTCTCTACAATAATAAATGAAACAGACAATTTAAATGATAAAAGTGAAACACTAGAAGCCTCTAAAGAAAATGAAAATGCTCCCTCTCCTGGTGAGGTGGGGGATTCTGATGTAGCGTATGATCCAGAGGATGAATCTCTTTTTGATGAAATTCAGGCTGGTATGTTAGAGAAGCCCAGGTCGAAGTCTCGGGATTCGTCTGTCTCTAAAAATGAACGAAGTTCCGGCCATAGCAAAAGGCACAAATATTCACCAAAGAGACGAAGTAATCACGAAAGGAGCCGCCATCGAAGTCCATCCAGAAGATCCCAGCGTCGCTCTCCTTCCCGGTCCCGAAGGCGGAGAGACAGAGACAGACACCACAGAAGTGAAAGAACCATTTCAAGGCATAGATCCAGAGACAGATCGGAGCGCCCCAATCGAACACGGAGAGACAGTACCTCACAGACTCGGTCAAGACGATGTAGAAGATCCTCATCATCACAGAGGAATAAAAACTCTGCCTCTCTTTCACCACGCCGAAGAAGAGAACACTCCCAACTAAGTCAAATTGCTGCAAAAAGTGAAATTAGTGCTTTTGCCACACAAGCAAAAAACCTTGAAGAGAACTTGCCTTCCCAATCTCCTAATAATACAAATGATGTGGATACAGAAGAGACACTACTCACATTCCTGGTGACACAAGAACAACTTGCAAGTAATGATAATACACCAGGTGACCTTAAACAGTTGAAATGGGCTAGAGACCTTTTAATGGATGGCAAACTTGATAGTCTAATACCACTACGAGAGCTTGAACCGCCTACGAGAGACTCACCCCAAAGTCCAGATCCAGAGCCACGATTTTCAGAAGATGTATCTGAAAGTACTAACATTATAAAGATGGAGAACAATGTAAAATTAGAACCTACTGAAGAGAATATTAAAATTGAAAGTTGTTCTCAACCAATTCTTACTCTTGGCAACACTCTTTTAAATGAACAAAAGCCAGTAGATTTAGTGGAAACAGCTGCTGTGGCTTGTGTTAAAGTAGAATTCAAATCTGAAGAAACAATTTCAGAGATTAAAAAACTGGATGATCCCAAGCCTTTTGCAGTTGAAACCCCTCCAACAAAAAATGAAGACAGCCCATGTAAAGATTCTATTCCAGGCTTGGGGGATCTTGAAAATATTCTCCAGGCATCAAGGGATGATAGCCCAACCTTAACAGACCCAAAACAAAACACAAATAAACTTGAAGATATGTTCAGCAAACCAAATAAAGACATTGCTACTTTGAGAAATAAAGGAACACATGATCAACAGTTTAGTAGCAGAAATCAAATGACTGAAAACCTCAATGCTGACAGGGGTATTAGAAATAAAGAGTCAGCCAATAGTAATTTTAGCCAGAATACACTTATAGGCTTAACTAGAGATCAGCATTCCGAGTCAAACTTTGGGAAGGGTGAAAGAAGATCTAGTCTAGAAAGAGATTTCAGTCAAAGAAATCCAAACATTTGGAATACTGGGCCTGTGACTTTTACTCAAAGTCAAAATATTCCTGAATTACAAGAGATAAGATGTGGGGGTGATATTATGGGACTTAATCCAAGAGGAGACATGACCATCGGGTCTGACATTAGTTTTGCCAATCCCAGTTTACATGGACATCTAGCTGGAACTAATAACCCGAAACAACCTGAACAGAGAGGAGCAGATTTCCATGCTCCATGGAATAACAGTGGTCCTGCTTTTAGAGGGAGGAATTCTAGAGGTTTGCCATTTGAAGGGCCTGGATCTCACAGGGGGAGACATGGTGGCCCACAGTTTGATAGAGGAGGTGAACCTAGAGATTCCTCTATTGATAGGCCAGGTCCACACAGAGATAAAACTGTAGATTCAAATTTTGGTGAATTTGAACATAGAGATACCCCTATAGATTGCCAAGGTCCACACAAGGGAGGCTTTGGTAGAGGTGGTCCAATGGAGGCTCAGAGACACTACAGGGACGACTTGGAAAGACAGGGAGAGCCAGGTTTTGATAGAGGAAGTTCGATGGATGGCCCAGGACCCCGTAGAGGGGGATTTGGAGGGCCAGGGTTTGGAAGAGGAGGAGAACATCGTGGTCCAGTAGATGGCCCAGGACATCACAAGGGGGGACGTGGAGAGCCAGATTCTGATAACGGCCTTTTGGATGGGCCAGGACCCCATAGAGGTGGTTTTCGAGGGCCAGGGTTTGGGAGAGGTGGGGAGTATAGAGGTGGTCCTATGGATGTCTCAGGATCTAAAAGAGTGGGACTTGAAGGACCAGAGTTTGATAGAGGCCCGGTGGATGGACCAGGATCCTATAGAGGTGGGTTTAGAGGGCCAGGGTTTGGTAGAGCTGGGGAACATCTAGGTGGTCCTATGGACAGTCCTCAACCCCACAGAGGAAGCTTTGGAGGGCCAGGTTTAGGTAGAGATAGTCCTATGGGTGGGCCAGGACATCAAAGTGGGGACCATGAAGAACCAGAATTTGAGAGAATCCCTATGGATGGACCACCTCAGAGGGGGGGATTTAGAGGGCCAAGGTTTAGTAGAGGTTTGGAACATGGAGGGGGCCTAGTGGAGAACCCAGGACCTCACAGTGGAGGACATGGAGATCCAGATGTTGATAGAGGCCCTATGGATGGCCCAGGACCCCACAGGGGTGGATTTGGAGGATCAGGATTAGGCAGAGGTGGAGAGCATAGAGGTGGCCCTTTGGATGGCCTTGGATCCCAAAGGGGAGGTTTTAAAAGGGCAATTTTTGGTAATGAGGGTTCTATGGGTGGGCCAGTACCTCAATGTGGGGGGCATGAAGAATCAGAGTTTGATAGGGACGCTATTGATGGACCACCACATAGAGGGGGATTTAGAGGGCCATGTTTTGGCAGAGGTGGTGAACATCACGGTCCAGGTGATGGCTCAGGGCCCCGTAGAGGTGGATTTGGAGGCCTAAGGTTTGGTAGAGGTAGGGATAATGGAGGTGATCCAATAGACAACTCAGGGCCTCACAGAGGAGGACATGAAGAGCCAGATTTTGATAGAGGCCCTATGGATGGCCCAGGACCCCAAAGAGGTGGATTTGGAGGACCAGGATTAGGCAGAGGAGGTCCTATAGGTGGCCCTGGACATCAAAGGGGAAGACTGGGAGAGCCAGATTATGATAGAGATAGCACTATGGATGTCCCAGGACCCCGTAGATTTCAAGGGTCAGGGTTTGGTAGAGATGGTCCTATTGGTGGGCTAGGACCTCAGAGTGGAGAGGATGGAGAACCACAGTTTGACAGAGGCACTAGGGATGGACTACCACAGAGAGGGGGATTTAGAGGGCCAGGGTTTGGTAGAAGTGGGGAACGTCATGGTCCAATAGATGGTCCAGGACATCATAGGGGAGGACATGGGGAGCTAGATTATGATATGGGGCCTATGGATGGGCCAGGGTCCCATAGAGGTGGATTTGGAGGACCTGGGTTTGGGAGAGGTGGGGAGCATAGAGGTGGTCCTATGGATGGCCCAGGACATCTGAGAGAGGCACAAGGGGGGCCAGAGTTTGACAGAGAAGGCCCCATGGATAATTCAGAACCACAACGAGGTGGTTTTGGAGGGTCAGGGTTTGGTAGAGGAGGGGGGCATAAAGGTGGTCCTATGGATGGCTTTCACAGAGAAGGGTATGGTGACCAAATGTTTGGTAGAGGTGGAGGGCCAAGTTTTAATAGCACTGGCCCTGTGGATGGCCCAGGACCAAATAGAAGGGGACATGGGGGACAAGGTTTTGGTAGAGGTGGAGAACGTGCAGGCGGCCCAAGGAATGATCCAGGATGGAGCAGAGGAGCATTTAGTGGGCCTGATTTGGATATAGATGATGAACAAAGAGATATGGGAGATCAAAGACCGCATAAAGGATTTGGAGGGCCAGGTTTTGGAAATGATGGCCCAATGGATGGCCCAGGTCCAAACAGAGGGGGGTATGGAGGGCCAGGGTTTGATAGAGGTGATGAACATCAAGAAGGCCCAATAGATGGTCCATCACCTCTTAGACAGGGCCCACACAGAGGAGGGTTTGGAGGGCCAGGCTTTGGCAGAGGTAGCCCTATGGATGGCCCAGGACCTCATAGAGGGGGACATAAGGGGCTAGGCCCCGGTAGAGATTGGGAACACAGAGGGGGCCCTAGAGAGCCAGGCTTTGGAGGAGATGGTGAAAACAGAGGGGGCCCAATTTGCGATCCAGAGCTGTATAGAGGGCCAGATTTTGAGAGGGGTGCTGAATATAGATGTGGTCCTATGGATGGGCCCGGTCCAGTGCACAGTGGCATACCAAGGGCTCAAGATTTCAGAGGAAGAGATGGACCAGGAAATCCTAGATCTCACAGGGGTGGGCCTATGCCAGACTTTGGACCTGAAGGTGAAGTTTGTAGCCCTGGAAATGAAAACTGGGGGGCTATACGGGGAAACCCCCATCCCAGTATTGAAGGACCTCAACATGAGGGCAAAGTTCCAGACAATAGGGGGCAAAGTCAAACACATGAATGGCCATTTGGGGGCCTGAGGGATGGCCCAGATGATAGACAGAACAGGGGTGATTTTAGTGGTCCAAGGCATGATCAAAGGCCTGAAGGCTGGAGACCAGAAGATGATTGGAACCAGAACTGGGAAAACAGACAAGATGATGACAGACCAGAAAGATCACGCCCTGGAAGGGACAGGAGGTCCCATGACAGCGAAAGAAACAGAGGGCGAGACATGAGAGGAGAACAATGTCGACCTCTTCATAGAAGAAGTTCAAGCAGGGACCGATCTACCCACAGAAGGGATCAGGACTCAGGCCCAAAGTCTGATTTACCAAAAGTTGACTCTGACCCTAAATCTGGAGAAATAAAAGACCCTACATCAGGTGCAACTAGATCTGAACAGTCTGATAACACTCTGACAGACACAGAACAAATGATGCCTCCAAGGCACAAAACTCCTTTACTTCCCACTCCTCCAGATGGTCCCTTATTTCCCTTTCAATCACATGGAAGGCAACGAGGGAGAGGGAGAGGAGGACGAAGGAGATAGACTGCCGTGGAAAAAGTTAAAAGTGTAAACAATGAAACAATATACATGTTCATAGACTCTAAATGCTCTAGACCTTAATAAGTAACTCACTGGCAACTTGAGGTTGTTGTAGTTGATTTTATTTGATTATGAACATGTTGAACTAAGTTTTGTTCTGTAAATTATCATTGCCATGTCAATACAGAAAGGTTGCTGTATGGTAAATCTATAGTTTGAAGTTTTTTGTTCTTTTTTGGTTTTGTTTTGTTTTGTTTTGTTTTTTTTAATAAACTGAATAAATAAAAAAATCTGATGACTTTAATTTTAAGGTTACATTCAGATATTTTGTTTTAAAGATTTAGACTGCTGATGGCAGTTATAAATATATACATATGTTTATTATTTATAGCCTATTTTTTCCAAATTTCACATCTACTAGCCTTTAGGTCCTGATTGCGAAGTATGGAATAAGCAGCTTTAAGTGAAAAATAAATAACAAATAAAATAAAGTTAGTTTTCATACCAATATGCATTTTGATCAAACAAAATAAGTATAATAAACAGATCATTATTTTACAAAGCCTAAGAAAAATTATTGGCACATTGTCTAAAGTAGTAGGCGTTCATCACGGAGTGATCTGATTGGCTATCGCACATGTCAATCACGGTGTCCTTGCCGCTCACTTCCGCTCCGACTGTGTGTAGTGAACTCGGATTGTTTATGCTCCTGAATCTTCATTTTGGCCTTAAGTATCAGGTAGTCATAATTGTATGATCTTTCAGTGTACACTGCATATTATTCATCAATATATGTTAGTCTGTGCTTTAATGACGTTGCTTGAAACCTATCATTTACCATGCATTTATTTAGCCTCTTGACTGAATGCTAGTTGCAGTGTAGCAACAAAATGCTACCATCTACAAGCGATCATGCTTATCCTTATGATCAGATTTGTGGTTAACAGGCTCAACAACACTTACAGTTTATTAAGCCGCTGCTTTTGTGGTTTTGGCTGTCCGCGGGTGCATGTGTTGTGTAGGTCCAAATATGATGCACGGAACCAGGCCGATGGGACAAACATGAAGTTTTGAATGACAGTTTTACTACAGTGCTCAGTATGAACAGCGAAGAGGAGTTTTACGACGCCGAGACAGGTGAGATGCCCAAATAATATAAAACAAGCTTATAAAATGTAAGTAATGCATGATTATGGGACTGTAAATCTCTTACTGTGCTTGTTTTCTTATATGTTTGTGGAAGTGAAGGATCAGAAAACAACGCAGTCAAACATGCAGTAGGCTGTCATTGTGCTTTATTAAATACATCAGAGGTGTGCACTTTTCACCGTTAACTAAATACACCTTTGGTTGGATTAATAATATGAGCTTTAAATCATACATTTCAACCCATTCTTTTTTGAAAGCTGACTAAGCTCTTTTTTGTATAGTTTTACACAGCTGAAGAACACATGTATTATCTTGCTGGTGAGAAACAACTTTTTGTTTCAGCATGTGTATGTCTCATAAATAAATACCATGCACATGACAACAGTGTGATCTTATTCTTATTTTTAAAAAGATGGCAGGGAAAAGCTATGACAGTATTTATGTTATTTTGTAAATATTATTATACTGCTTCCTGTGTAACTCTGTTTCTGTTCCTCAGGGCTTGAGTCGGATGACTCATGTGAGCAGAGTTTTAAAGATGCCCAAGTGTCCAAAAGTGCCTCTCAGGAGAATGGACTGTGGCAACGCAGGTGAGGAGGGCATTCATTCATAGCCACTGTTTATTTAGCCAGTCACATGACTTTGTTTATATACTATAAAAAGTATAAGGGTACAGATTACCATTTGTTGTAAAATCTGCCTGAAGTCACGCCATAGACTAGACCCTAGAGGTGGTATTTAGGGCTGCATAATTGCAGAAATAAATGTAATTGCAATTGTGATTTTTGTTTTAAAATCACATCTAGGAGCATGACAAGATTTGACTGTTTTTTTTTGTCTTAGCTAAAATGTTGTAATGTATTTTGTGGTAAGTGGTGTCACTTAAAGTTCCTATATTATGGAAATTGGCTCATGTAACTTTTATCAATGTAAGAACTTTGTCATGTTATCAAAAACGTACCTGGGGTTGGGTTGTGTTTTGTTTCATTCACATATGTTTGAGTTATCCTTTGTTATTCTGTCTACATCTCCAATGCTCAAGATGCTCTGTTCCACCTTCATGTCATGAAGCAATAGTTTTCAGGTTAACAGCTACCTTTTACGTTTAGTTCAGTAAGAGCTTGGCAACTGAAGGGCTGAAATTATCCAAATGATGACAGTTAACTAGTAGTGAGGTATATGGAGTTTAAAAACAGTGATATTGCCACATATTATCTGTATTACAACATGACCACACAAGGTGGAACAAAGTGTTCAAACACAGCATGTCAAACATTGTGAATGATAGAAAACACAACTCTGGGTATGTTTTTGATGAGGAAACAACATTATAGCATAGATAAAAAAATTTGACCTTTTAAATTGTAACTCTGATTATTTATGTGTTATCTGTGAAGCTGTAGTTGTAAACAAAGTAGGCAGAAGTTTGTGATGGAGCAAATACAGCCAGTACGGACAGTATTGGTTTTGAGAGCTCATTGGTTGAGAGACAAAGATACAGTATATTTCTGTGATTGGCTGACTGCAACAGACAGGTGAAAGGTTGCTAATATCAGTGCTAATAATATTAATGTTTGTTTGCTTTTAGGAAAACATTGCCTGCAGAAATGGTCTCTAGAAACAACTTCAGTGTGTGGAATATCCTGAAGAAATGCATTGGGATGGTGAGTAAAGGCTCCATCATAAAATAAATCTTAAAGGTGTACTGACTACTTGGCCATCCATCATGTACACAGTATGGTATTAAACCTTTCTATCTTCATGGAGATCAAACCAGACCAGTTCTTCTGAGTTGAAACTAACTTGTCCCAGACTTCATATGATGACCTAATTCGCAAGGTGGTAGAGGTCTTCAAACCGTAAAAGTTTACCACAACTTTTTTGATCAATCAGAGCTCCTAATGCCGCAGGGTCTTCTCAGTGTCAGATCTGTGGACAGGCTACCCCTCTCATAGTCAGAATGCCTGTTTTTCTACATATTTTTAAGCTATAAAATCACCTGTAAGTGAATAAATGTATGGTAGTGCTGTTTAATGTCATACTGTGGCAGAGAAATGACATCCATAGAAACAGAAAGGCCATGGACCCCCAACCAAAACATTACATAGTGCACCTTTTCCATAATGTTAAAATAAAAGTAACCACCATAAATCATTATGTCTGTCATTTTCCTAGATCTATTTCATATTTCATTTATTTGCAGGAGCTGTCCAAAATTGCAATGCCAGTGGTTTTTAATGAGCCGCTGAGCTTTCTCCAGAGAATCTCGGAGTACATGGAGCACACTCACCTCATCCACAAAGCCTGCAGCCTGTCAGATTCCATGGACCGCATGCAGGTACACACTCAGAATACATGTAAACTTCCCTTATTTACTATTAAGAATCTAGCATAGGAATATTATTGATCTTTTTATTACCTCCGCCAAGGAGGTTATGTTTTTGCCGGCGTTTGTCTGTTTGTTTGTTTGTTTGTCTGTTAGCAACATAACTCAAAAAGTTATGGACCGATTTTGATGAAATTTTCAGGATTTGTTGGAAATGTGAAAAGAAAGAACTGATTTCATTTTGGGGGTGATCCGGAAGAAATCCTGGATTCTGGATCACTTTGAAATTTTAGTTAACATTGTGGTAAATGGGGCCAAAAATTTAGTTTCTCAATATCTCGGTTAATTATTGACCAAACCCCATTAAATTTGACTCAGGGATGGACAATGGGATCCTCTTTCATATTCCAAAGGCTGATCCGGATCTGATCCAGAAGACTGATTTTATCGCAATTTCTATAAAAAATGGGGGTAGTCCTTGGCGGAGGTCTGCGCTCTCTGAGTGCTTTTCTAGTTATTTAAGAATTAATTGATTTATGAATTTATTTGACAGGTTGTAGCTGCTTTTGCCGTGTCCGCTGTAGCATCTCAGTGGGAAAGGACTGGAAAACCATTTAATCCACTACTTGGGGAAACCTATGAACTCATAAGGTATCAGAGAATGTAAAAATTATCTTTATTTGTCTCACAGTGTGGAAATTGCAGTGCTGTAATATTAAAGTACAAATAGAGGAGCATTCAAATAATAAAGCAAACAAGTGTCCAAAAATATAATATAACTTGCACTTGATTAAAACTAACTTCTCTCCTGTAAAATAAATGCATACATTATTCAAAATTGCTACGTCTATAAACTGTAATGATGCCCAGTCAGAGCTGATATTAATGTAAAGGCCAAATTCATTGCTTTGGTGAGATGGGACCGCCTTTGTTTTAAATAAAATAACTGACTGATCCAAATATTTTTGAATTTCCAGGGAAGATGAGGGTTACCGGTTGATCTCGGAGCAGGTGAGCCACCATCCTCCGGTCAGTGCCTTCCACGCAGAGTCTCTGAAGCAGGAGTTTGTTTTTCATGGCTCCATTTACCCCAAGCTCAAGTTCTGGGGCAAAAGCATCGAAGCCGAACCCAAAGGAACCATGACACTGGAGCTGCTCAAGTAAGTCTGGGATTGGGTCAGTGGTATAGATATTTTTCTTTACTAAAGTGTCTGTGTGTGTTTTGTTTTTAAGACATAAAGAAGCATACACATGGACGAACCCAATGTGTTGTGTGCATAATGTGATATTAGGGAAACTGTGGATAGAGCAATATGGAACCGTGGAGATCCTCAACCATAGGTATATATTTTATTCTTTATTTCAGACTCAATGATTATTTGATTATTTAAAGAAAAGAACAAAATGAGCGATATATTTTGTTTAGTTCTGTTACCTGCACTTTCATGATATGGCTTGTCAAATTATTATGTAAAAAACGGCTAACCCTGTAGTTTATGCTGCTTTTAGGTTTTAGTAGGGATCTAACAATAACCACAATACCATGATATCATATTGCCAAAATTTTCAGCATAATATTGTTAGCTGTCACAATATATTGAATTTTAAGGTGTTTCACTTAAAAGTATAAAAAAAAATAGGAAACTACACAAACTATGATCTTTTGCTTCATTTCAGTCCAGACTACATAATAAAATATAATATTAAGCACTTTTGAATCATCATTCTTCGAATTGACTGGAAGTAACTCTGAAGTCTTTTGAAGCCATTTAAAAAGGGAAAAGCAGCGTATCCATAATTTTGTTCAAGTCCCCAAAATATTGCAATATCGTACCTTCAGATCCATATCGTGATAACATAACTGTGAGATTTTGATATCTTTACATCCTTACACTTAAGGCAAGTGGGAGATTGGTTATTTCTAAATGAATTCATTGTTGTTTCTGTCTTAATTGTTTTTCAGCACTGGAGATAAGTGTGTTTTGAACTTCAAAGCATGCGGCATGTTTGGAAAAGAGCTGCACAAAGTAGAAGGCTACATTCAAGACAAAAGGTGTCATTTATATTGACATGGTTCATTATCCCTCTATATTTAAAGGTTTAACTCTTGTGTTAATACATCTTAGAATGTTCTTACCTCATCAAAAACATACCAAGAGTTGTGCTTAGTTTCATTGAGACCTTAAGATTTTATTATTAGTCTGTTTAAATAGCCAATGCTCAATATGTTCTGTTCCATCTTGGAAATTCATGTGAAGTTTGAAAACACATTGGAGCACTTCCTGTATGACATCACAAGGTAGAACAGAGTGTTTTCAAGGTTTGCGTGTCAAATATGTGTGAATGAAACAAAACACAACTCCAGGTATGTTTTTATACTATATACGGTTATAGATATTAATGTATGTATATCTGCGTGTGCTAATTGATAATCTTTTGTTAAACCAGCAAAAAGAAGCTAAAGGTCATATATGGGAAATGGACAGAGTGCATGTACAGTGCTGATCCAAAAGTTTATGAAACGCACAAAAAGTCTGATAAGAAGACAAAACAGGTACTATTTTTATACATATCTTTTAACATATATTGTCTGTTTATGACCGCATAGTGTTTTTTAGCTTTAGGGATGCACAATATATCAACAAAGTTACTATTGCCATGGCATCGGTTTAGGTTATCGCAACCCTTCAGGAAGTCAAATATTGTATGGTGCAATTTTTCTTAGTTGGTTATGCAAGTTTTTCAACTTGAAAAATATTAAGTCTTACATATATTTAAATTTTTTGTTGTTGATCCCAGTTTAATTTTAGTATCATAAGACTTACTTTAATCATATTATGTAGCTTTCTACATGCTCTCATCTGCTTTTATTTACATTTGAATATCTGTGTCTCAAATTTCCTTTCATAATGACATGCAGTGGCTTAGTAGAAGGTAAGGTTAAACTGAATGTGGTTTCTATAGTGTTTCTGCTGTTGTCCTGTTTTAGTTATGTCAACAGTGAATGATCCTCCAACATTGCCAGCATTATTCTATACAACTGTGCAATGATGTGGCTTCAGAGATGTGTTGAAGTTGTGGCAGTTTTCAGTAGTTCTGTTAATCAACTGTGTTTACATGGATTATTTGTATTAAATTTGCTCATAAACTGTTAAAATGTCTTGGATTTGTGTTTAGGAACATAGCTGTGAAGAGGACTCAGACGATGTTCCAGAGATTCAGGAGACTGTAGCTGTGATCCCAGGAAGTGCCTTACTGTGGAGGATAACTCCCCGACCGCCTCACTCAGCACAGGTCATCATTTTGATAAACATTTGTATACATTGGATTTGTACAATGCTTTTTCAAGACACCCAAAGCAGAATGCATTATTCATTCACTACACACTTGCTTATCATAAGTTACCACTGATAGCCAAAACTGCCATCTGGTATACAATAGGATGTATATAGAGCGACAAGTCCTAGACACAAGATTACAAATAGATAGCGCGGTTGTGAAGTGGTTCCATCAACACTGGCTCCAGTTAAGTTTTTATTTTATTTATTTTAACCCACTCTACAAGATCATGGTGTTTTTGTTTCACTGTTTTGTCTGTAGTTCAAGATAAGAATATTAACAGACAAATCAGGTACCTTCTTTTCTCTGAGATGGTCTTTTTTAGTTAATTTACAAATTTGCCTTTTCTACTTCACAATTAAACATACCAACTCCCAAATGTTTGACTTTCCATTTTAAAGTAGCGGACCAAAATAATGAACACAGTCTATGACCATCATCAAGGGACCATCATTTCAAAAGATGTTCTTGTTGTGTAGATGTATAACTTCACCAGCTTTGCCATGACACTAAACGAGCTGGAGCCGGGCACAGAGAGACTCCTGCCTCCAACAGACTGCAGACTCAGGCCTGACATCAGGGCCATGGAGAACGGGGACATAGGTGAATATATATACAAACTATATACACTACATACATTTATATTTGTTTGAACATTTTACTCAGTTGTAAAAATCACATGCTGATTCACAGACCGGGCAAGTTTAGAGAAAGAGCGACTGGAGGAAAAGCAGAGAGCAGCAAGGAAAGAACGCTCCAGAGATGAGGAAGAGTGGTCAACACGGTGAGTTTAGGCTTTCCATATTTTCTGAGAAAATTGGGATCGACATAGAAATGGTTCTGAAACTTTTCAAGCCAAGGACATCCTAAGAATACGTAGGCCTCCTGAGTACCACTGGATTTATAACAAATCTATTTCAGGTCAATGATCATGTCTATGATAAACCAATCCTATAGTAGTTCACAGCAAGAAATAAACCAAATACACTATTATCGAATCGTGCTTTGTTATTGTTTATATTCTGCACTTTCTGGTGATATTATGTAGTGTATAGGCAAGGCAAGTTTATTTGTATAGCACAATTCGTACACAAAGTAATTCAAAGTGCTTTACAGAATAAGAAATACATTAAAATCATAATAAAAACAAATCAAAACATAAATAATCATGAAGATTAAAATTAAAAAAGAGAGACATAAATTGGAGAGAAGACCTTTCAGTTCTATGCACAGTTAAACAGAAATGTTTTGAGCCTGGATTTAAACAGCGTCACAGAAGAGTCTGTCTCACATGTTCAGGAAGACTGTTCCAGGTTTTAGCTGCATGAACCTGAAACGCTGACTCCCCTTGTTTAGTTCTGACTCTGGGCACCAGCAGGAGGCCGGTCCCTGAGGTCCTCAGAGTGCGAGATGGTTCATATGACACTAACATGTCACAGATGTACTTTGGTGCTCGGCCATGGAGAGACTTGTACACAAGCAGAGCTGCTTTAAAGTCTATTCTCTGAGGCACAGGAAGCCAGTGCAGAGACCTGAGCACAGGACTTATGTGCTCGTACTTCCTAGTTCGAGTAAGGACCCGAGCTCCAGCGTTCTGGATGTTCTGCAGCTGTCTCACAGTTCGTTTTGAGAGACCAGTGAGCAGACCATTACAGTAGTCTAATCTACTGGAGACAAACGCATGGATAAGTTTCTCCAAGTCTGCTTTAGACAGTAAACCTTTGATTTTTGCTATGTTTTTTAGATGGTAAAAGGCTGCAGATGTTATTGACTTGATGTGGCTGTTAAAGTTCAAGTCTGAGTCCATTATTACCCCTAGATTTCTTGCCTGATTTGAAGGTTTTAGAGAGCGAGACTGGAGGTGACTGCTGACACTGTCCCTTTGTTTTTGAGGACCAAACACTATGACTTCAGTCTTGTCAGAGTTTAGCTGGAGAAAGTTGTTTTGCATCCACACACTGATCTGTTGGATGCAATGACCAAGTGACTCCACTGGTCCATAGTCTCCTGCTACCAGAGAGACGTAGATCTGAGTGTCATCTGCATAATTGTGGTAGGACACATTATTGCTGCTTATTAACTGGCCTAATGCAGCATGTAGAGATTGAACAACAGGGGGCCCAGGATTGACCCCTGAGGCACCCCGCAGGTCAGGGCCATGTGATCTGAGACACAGTTTCCAATTTCAACAAAATACTTCCTATCTTCTAGATAGGATTTGAACCAGTTCAGTACAGTACCAGAGATTCCCACCCAGTCCTCTAGTCTCTGTAAAAGAATCCCATGATCGACAGTGTCAAAAGCAGCACTCAGATCTAACAGGATCAAGACTGAGACTTTGCCTGCATCAGTGTTCAGGCGTATGTCATTTGTCACCTTGATAAGAGCAGTCTCAGTGCTGTGGTGGGCTCTAAAACCTGACTGGAAAACATCAAAGGAGTTGTTAATTTGGAGAAAGTTCGTAAGCTGTTGGTAAACAGCTTTTTCAAGGACTTTGCCAAAAAACGGCAGATTTGAGATGGGTCGGAAATTGTTCAGTACTGTGGCATCAAGACTGATCTTCTTTAGGAGAGGCTTAATGACCGCAGTTTTCAGTGCATTTGGGAATGTTCCAGATTGAAGTGACATGTTAACTATGTGAGTGAGTGGTGAAAGTAAACTGTTGAGGACGGACTTTAGAAATCTAGTGGGTAACATGTCCAGGCAGCAAGTAGATGAACTCGGACTGGTAACGATCTCTAAAACAGTTTTGTCAGTTACAGGTGCAAAGTGATTCAGCTCTAAGTGTCTCTGTGGCTGCATGCTTGTTATTTGTGTTGTGGAATTGATGGCATTTTTGATGCCCTGAACTTTGTCATTAAAGAAAACTGCAAACTCATTACATTTAGATGTGTAAATTAGTTCTAGTGGCAGTTGAGCTGGAGGGTTTGTTAATCTGTTCACTGTTGCAAACAGGACACGAGAGTTGTTACTGCAATTACCAATAATGTCCGAAAAATACTTCTCTCTTGTTTTACTCAAAGTGTAGTTGTACATATGCATTGTTCCTCTGTAAATCTCATAATGAACCTGGAGGTTTGACTTGCACCATTTCCGCTCAGCCTTCCGGCACTTCCTTTTCTGTGCTCTGACTGAGTCATCATTCCTCCACGGAGCTTTTTGCCTAGTGTATAGTCACTGTTGGAGGTGATCATAATTATTGATACATTGCAGTGACATCATGCTGGAGGTGTTCTACATGTAAGTCTATGGTGAAATGTTCAGCAGTTACCATGGTGACATGATGCCCAAATTAGCTGACACTGCCAATAAAACTGTCTAAAAACTTAAACAACACATTTTCAGGAGCCTGTGATCAATATGAGCATTCTTGGTCTTGTTTAGGGGTTTGCTTTTCAACAAAAAACAGTGCAAGTGACTGCTGGCTAATGCTAGCTAGCTTGTGACTGTAATGTTATTTGAGATTGATTTGTTTAACAGTACAGATCAGCTCACCTGCTGTGCTTCCAGTTAAATCATTTTTTTAATTTTCAGATTGTGTTGAAACAAAGCTCATATTAAAGTCTAACTTCAGCAACAGAGCTTCAGACAGAGCAGTGCCTTCAGTTAGCATCACACCCCCAGAGAATATTGATGACATCAGCTGCAAAGGATCAGTACAAAATGAACAACAGATGGTAATTTATTCCCTTTATTATATTTTTAAATTATGTTTGTTTTTTTGTTGTTTTTTTCAGGTGGTTTCATCTGGGCACAAACCCTCACACTGAAGCAGAAGACTGGCTTTACACAGGTGGATACTTCGACAGGAATTACAGTGACTGCCCCGATATTTACTGACCTAGGATCTGCTCTAGAGTGCCACCTATCTTCTATCACCAGTACTGTTTTGTGTTGAATCATGCTCTTATGCGTGTGGCAACTCATAGCTGACTGTCAAACACCCACAAGAGAGGTCGAACAATATTTTAGTTTACTTAAAAGATTAAACCATTTTACTGTGCCGTACTTACTATGCTAAAATAGTATAAACACAATTATCATAACTTTATAAAGCCTTAAAATGTGACTTAAAGGTACACTACGTAATTTTTCTGATGGTCAGTACACCACCTGCTTGACTTCATAAAGACGTTATTGCTTTGCATGTCATATTCCAGTTTGGCATTAAATGTCAGTGATCAGTCTATTGTCCATGGAAAATGTAAAGGGAATCCCACCAGTTTCAAGTCAAATCTGTGAAGAGGTGACCCTGCTAACTGTAAGAATGGCAGCATGGTATCCAAGATAATTTTGTAGGAATAAGTGCTAGGCGAGTTTAATGTAATTGTGTGGAACAGTTGAGACAAAACAGAAACATCTCCATGGAGACAAGCAAGGCAAACTCTCCTCCAGAAAAACTGAAGAAGCAGCTTGGACGAGCTGTAAAATGTTTTCAGCCTAAAGAAACGTTTGACCGGCTGACAAATTGAATTTCTCTTTTGCCATGGATTCTAGCTGGATGACTGAGGGATTCTACACTCTAGAAAAGTTACACAGTGTACCTTTAAATGAGCTACTAGAGATCAAACTTTCTAAACATTGATGTACTGTACCTCACTTTAATATCAGGGCTTATTGAAAAACACTTGCTTCCAGTTTTATAACCAATTTAAAGATTTAGTGTTTAAGATAGCACTATTTGTCCCTTGTACAGTGTAAGAAATGAACTAGTTGTGTACACTTACAATTGAAAAGCTGCTTATGTGTGTATGTTTGCTAGCATAGTAAACATACTGGACTTATGGTACATTTATTTGTTGTTTGCTGAAGTGTAGAGGTCTATAGTATGAGATTCCTAATAATTGAGAAGACTAGAGTGGCCCTACTGGTCTCTTATCACAAGATAGATAATAGATGGGTATAACAACTATAAGCAAACATTTCCTGGGTTAAATTACAGAGCAAGATTGGGATTTTGTCCTTGTGTTTGGGTAGGTTCTGAGTGGTTTCTGAATGGTCCTATTTTTCTCATTAATCTAAAAAAAAAAAACAAAGCTGATAATTGAACGTCAAAAACTTAAATGGCAAATGTGCAAAATGTCCATAGAAATGCATTAGCAAAAACATTATAAAAAGGTAAACACAAAAGTCATGTAATAACCAATCAACAGCTGGGACACAACTCGTAAATACAGCTATTACATTATATTGTCAAAATCCCTCTGAATAAATGCTAAGTTTAGTATTTAGCATTTTAATGTCTCCACTGGGTTATGATTAGGGAAAATAACAATTCTATGGGGTCTGATGATACACTCATAATCTCTGTTGACTATATGGTATTATCTTGAGAAATATTTAAAAGTTTTATATGAAATTTTGTACCTGACCATTAGTGACTAAACCTGGTATATTCACAAAAAATACCTATATTTTCCCCCTTGCCTATATTAAACATTATTGGTCTATAGAGTGGTCTGACATCTGAAACAGAGCAAAACAGCCCATGGGTTTCAGAGGAGTAAAAAAATTACCACCGTTGCCATAGCAATTAACACTTCAAAATAATATCTTTTGATATGTGAAAAGTGCTTAAAATGGTGCTTATAAAGAGGGAATTGAAATCCAGCTTGATAGTACAACCCAAGCTAATGATCTGGAGATGGGTCCCCAGGTGCTGCACTGTGATTGCCAATTGATCCTCGGGTTGCCCCAGCAGAATTAAAAAAATGGGTGAAATGCAGAGAAAATTTTTTCTGCAGTAACTTGTACCTTAAACTTTAGTAAGAGTGAAATAGTGCATAAGTACCTAAGTGAATGCCACTCTAGTCTCTACGGAAACCTTTAAAGAATACTATTATCAAGTTTAAGCCATAAAATCGTTCTGCACTGTGAAAGTAATTGTAAATACACTTTTCACACAAAGGGACATTAGCTGCTAAACATATGAACAACTATTTTCAATTCTTTTCATCCCTGTCTACTTACATTGACTCATACCTGCATATTTTTTGTTGCCAGAGCCTAAGATTTTTTACACTAATTTGATGCTGAGCAATACAAAAGGTGCTCAATATGCTTTGAAATTCTCCCTAGGTGTTGGCTCAAAATACAATTGATACTTTTGTGTGCCTCCAATATGGGCTTCCTATTGAATTTTCATCAACAATATTGTCTGTTTGTGGCAGGTGTTTCACTGCTTTCAAGGAACATGAACATTGTCTTTTCTAGGTTGAATAATGGCACTTACCTTCTGAAGCTACTGTGGAAAAAATATTTTGAATATGTTGAACTTTGTGCCAGTTTTTGTTTCATGTGGATATGCCCAGTGCAAACCAAGTCAACAAATGTGCAATATATCAGATAAACAGCAATTGCCCTTTAGCTTCATTTTAAACTATATTGATTCTGCAATGCTATGTTGTTACCTGAGTGCAGCCAATTATGGATTTTTATCAATTCAATTTATCCTGAAATAGTTACTCAAAGTTTGCCATAGACCTTTCAAACTGCCAATATTCCAGGTCCTGGGAAGCCTATGCACAAACTGCACAGTGAAAATCAGCCCTCAGCCTCTTCTGAATAAACTCCACTCAAAGCACCTTGAGACAACTGTAGCCACTCAAAGCTGCTCAAGGTCATTTGTACAGCAGCATCTGTTAAAATGTTTACATCTTTATTGTTACCCACTCCTCTATAGACAAGCAGACATATTTAATAAATTATAAACTATTATAACCTTATTTCATTGTGACTCTTGTTTTATTTGATAGCACTATAGTAACCACTACTTTATTTTTTATTCTTGATTTATTAAATTACATTATTTTTTTACACATTGTAATTGTGATTTCGCATACATTCATTTGGCCTGTATTTCATTATCACACAGCAAATTCAAGAGTGTTAATTCAACTTGTATATTGTTCACTTTAACACTTTTACCATGTCATATGGGGTCCACAATGAAATGAGTTAAAACTACACTTTCCAAAGTGTAGAAGGCTCAACACTTGTAAAGTGATGTAACCAAACTCCTCATAGTTGAATTTGACACTGATTAAGATTAGATTTTTTACACTAGTGTATAGTGACACTTTATGAAGTAGAAATAGTGTAGAGTGTTCTTCATGTTACACTATTCAGTAGTAACTCTTTCTTCACTAAATGCAGTGTAAACGCTGTGGTCATTGTAGTTCATAATCCCTTTTACAAATGTAAAATAATGAAAACCACCACAAAATTCCATTTCAACTTAACTTGTATTAAAACAATGCACATCTGTTACAGCCCCAGGTCTTAGATTGTCATTTGTTCTGTGTGTTCTAAATAAGTCTGACACACCTGGATTCCTGCTGCAGGAGCCCTGGTCCGTGATTGGTGGGGCAGGTCGATGCCCACCTCACCTGCAGCCATCGCCCCCTATTTAAGGAGATTACCAGCACCTGTTCGGTGCCATTTTGTTTCGTGTGTGTGTAGTTTAGTTTAGTTCTGTTTTGTGCCTTTTTTGATTTGGTCACTCAATTCTGTTTGTGGGTTTATGTGGTTTAATTTGGGGAACTTGTGTTTTAGTTTAGTGTGTGTCCCCAAGTTTTACCACTCGTTTTTTGTAAGCCTGCGTGACCCCTTTTTGTGGCACAAAACTCTGTTTATTCTGTTGTTGTGTTTCTTAGTTTAGGTTGTTTTCTGTATATTTTTAGTCTTTTGTTAATTTACCTTTTACATCCCTGTTAATTAAACATTATTTAATTTATTCCATTTTACATATTTGTTTTATTTTTGTTACTTCCCTTACCCAAACGAGCTGGGTCGTAATATCATACAATCAACACAATTTAAACAAGTCATAAAATACTATTTTTGCTAAATCCAACTGACAGCAGGAATTCTTTGTGCCCTCAAAAGTTGGTCACAATGATTGTCATTTATTTTTTAAAGTTGATGGATGAATCAAGATTTTGTTTTGAATGGAATTCAGACATACTCATCTCCAAAAATGAGAGGACCATGTCTGACTGTTTGAAACAAGATCTTCTCTCCAATAGAGGCCGTCCTGCTAATTATGAAACATGGGGTTTCTTTTGACACATCCAATGTCCATGTTGTAGACAGTTCTTTGAATACAGGTGTAAAGTTTGTGAGAGTCTGAGGACCAAGTGCCTTGAATGGTTCACCAAATTCAGCCAGGTCAACGATGACATAAAATAAAACTTAACATATTCAAGTAACCACCTTGCAAAACAGGCTATAAATAATAAATAATAGTATTTAATAAGCCATGAATAAAAATGTAAAAGTAAATATGTAGTAAATATATTATGGTGCATATATCATTATTTGTTTGTTCCTAATAAGCAGGTTATTCTGTTGCATGAGCTGTATGTTTTTGTATACAGGAACCATTCAAATAAATAACTTGAACGGTAATTTGAAAAAATGTAGCACCTTAGAAAAGATTATTTTTAAATGCAAGACCCACAAGAAACAAAACACCTAAATGCCATTAATTACGAAAATAGAATGAGATTAAGGCAAAAATTGCAACTTCTTAACACATATATAAAATTCAATTAGTCAATTATGAAATTATTGGTGAGGTTACAGTTCACCATTTCATGACATAACTGCAAATCTTTGACAAGATGGTTAATGCTTTGAGCCTTCATCTTTCCACTGTAGCCTTTAGGAGCTGGGGATGCATGTGAACCAGCAGCAAGACACTCACCCTAAAGAAAATACAAATAAACAATGTATCATTACTCTTTTTGACTTAAGGTCAATAGCATGTTAAGACATTGTATTGGGTAAGACATCATACTTAAAGATATTTTACAGAATACTACTAAACTTTTGATTCAAATAATTTTAATAATTCTCCACTTGGTACAATATCCTGCCTCAACACACCACACAAAAGTGTGCAAGTTTATAAGCTATTATTAAAAGAAATGTGAATACAGCAAATGAATGCAGTCCCAAAGTGTGAAAAAGACGGTGAAAACTCGGAAGAGCTAAGCTAACGAATGTTAAGCTAACGAATGTTAAGCTAACGAATGCGAACCAGCCCTTCACTTCAGTAAAGACCGGGGGTCCGTGTCGAGGCCATTAGATTTTGGAAATGGGGAATCAGTACCGCGTGCAGGCAGAGATAGGGCCGTGTGAGGGCGTTTGGATCGGGGCAGCGTGAGATTGTGGACCCGCTGTTTGCGGTCTCCTCTAGACTGAGCAGAGGAAAGAGCGGGACTCACCTGGTTTAAGCGTATGCGGGTTAGACCGGGTCAAGTGCGGGTATAGTCCTTGTTTAGAGACGATTCCACCTCCTCTGGTGCCCAGTCCACTCCAGGTTACGGAGAGTATACCGCGTCCCCGCTGCCCGTGATGTACAACCTGCAGAAACTCCGGGAATTTTGTAACCCAGTCCGGAAAGTGAAGAGCATCACGGACACTTGTCACGGGGCTTTAAAGGTTGTATAGAGGATTTTCCAAGGAACGAGAAATCCAGCGACTGTTTGTCCTTTTTCAAATGTTGCACATGCGTGAAACCACCCCCCCTCCCCTACAGCTCCCTACGTAGAAACGCCTTCTCCCGCCTCCTCTTTACGCCAGAAACAGGTTTGTTTACAGCCGGTGAGCTGCACATGACTTGTAAACAACTAACTACAGTGTTGGTTAGGCAAGGCGGAGAAGTAAGGAGCGGGGGGAGCGGGTGTGCGGACGAGAAGTAAGGAGCAGGGAGAAGAGCGGCAGGGAGAGAGGAGAGGGGAGTGGTGCGCGGAGATTCCGTGCCCGGAGAAGTGAGGAGCAGGGGGAAGAGCGGAACGGGCAGCGGGGACAGGAGCAGGAAAGGGGAGCAGAGAAGAGTGTGCGGAGATTCAGTGCGAATGAACTAGCTACAACACGCAGCAGCAAGCGGACTCTTTCTTTGCCTTGAAAATTACGTTTTCAGACATAGGATATCGCTTTCGTGTCCTGAAAAACGTTTGACTAGCTCTTGGAAATAAAGTACGTTTTCATAATAAGCAGAAGTTACCTGTCCAGGAGTAATTTGGCGACCAGTGCGTCAGTCTTTAGACCCTGCGTCTGCTTCAGTCGCGCCATCGCTGGAATGAATCTTCAAGAATCGCCTTAGTTTAGCTTTGCTGCTTTTCCCCTTGTCTTCTTCTTTCAGCGACCTCAAAAACGGACTTTCTTTTGCGGCTAACTGCTCCTGGATTCTTGTCTGCCATTGCAACAAACTTTGTGCGAACTGCGAGGAAGATATAGGTCAAAAAAAGCCACTAAGAACTGTTGCGTTGGTGGAGTAAACAGCGTCTGTGAGTCTTGCGTCTGTGGATTGCGTGACAGGCGTACGTAAACCACGTACCGGCGGCGCGCAGGCAAGTCAGTTACGCTAGAAACGTAGGGAGATTGATTGACAGCCTGTCAGCTAACAGATAACGAGGCAGTGTCGTTATCTATTGGCAAATGTTTAGCTGGCCCCACCACGTCCAGAGTTGATGAATTTTTATTCTCTTTTTTTTGGTCATCATAATTACAAGGCTACTGCACCTCTATAATGCTATCATTGACAACTTGAAACAAAAAAAACAAAAAAAAAATCCTCCATACAACCTTTAAGGGCTGCTCTACGACAAAACACGGTCAAAAACACGGACAAAAAGCACATAGATTTTTTTTTGTTCAAGCAGAATCATCGGTGGAGCATATTCACTCTATATATTCAATCTAAATACGCTATTGTGGTACATTTGATAACTTCTTAACTCAGTAAAGCATGCACAAGGCTAAGCGCCAAGTAGCAGTTAATGCTGCAGAGTGCAGACGAAGAATGGCAGAAAATGGGAATGAAAATGAAAATACCAGACATGAGTACTATTTCATGTTTCATCCTCGCAACTGCATTAACTTTAAATGACAAATCAGATGTTTCGTCCAGTTACTTTTAACTTAAGTTACTTGAGGAGTAGTTTCCCCAAATACTTTACTCTTAGCTACTTAACACATTTTTTTGGACTTCTACTTTTACTTAGACTTGAGATTTTTTTTTTTTTTTTTGAAGTAACGTTACTCTTAATTTTGTACAATTTGTGGCTATTTTACCCAATTTTCATGGACATTAGCGACAACAACTGTCACAAGTAAGTTAGTTAGCTTACTACTACTCAATACTACTACTAGCATTAGACTAAATATATTTAGTATTTTTATGAATTAAATTATCTGCAGAGTGTCCTAAAAGGTAAAGTAATCTGACCCGGGGCATGTGAGAGCTCAGGTGGTTGGACTTGAGGCTCGTTCAGTTCAGGTTCTGCTGAAAAACAAACGCTGTTCGCTTAGCTGTTAGCTTTGCGCTGTTAGCTCTTAGCTTAGCTTAGCTTCGGACGGTGAAATGTGGCTTCTCTCTCAGACTGTAGCTCTCCCGCTGGAAACGTGACAAAAGCCCAACACTGATGTAGTGTAGTGATGTTGAGATGAAGCCCAATGAAGCGCTGAAGCGTTCCAGCCATTTGCTCGACTCTTGAGCCGATGCTTCAAGGTGCTTCATTTGCTCCACTGCGCCATTAAGAGGCCAAAAAATATATAACAGGCAGAGTGAAAATAGAACCATCAACATGATCGTCGAGGTTCTGATGGAAAGATTTATACTGAATAAATTAACGATTAAATATTTGAATGTTTGTGATTTCAACATAAAGTGTGAATGTATTAACCTGGAGTCTGTGTTCATGATATAACGGTCGGGTTAAAAGAAAAAGTAGGAACAAATTGGAGATCAGTATGTAATGTGACTGTGCTTGTGTTACTACTTTATGTCTGTGCTTATGCCACAACAAGCACGGCAAAATAGGGTCATTTTAGTCATTTTTATTTAAAAATATCAATTTCTCCACAGTATTTGGACTCAGACGGTTTCTTTTTTACAGAGAAAAAAAAAAAAACTTTCACAGCGCACACACACACACACACAAAAAGAATCTCAAATAGAATGTACCAAACTCACAATAACCCAAAACCACAAAAGGTTTTGGGGGAATCCGGTGCGTTTCACTGGCTCTAATGTTTCGAAAGGCGCCAAATCCGCGAACCACTTCCCGAAGCATTCACGTGGTAGAGCCGGACAGCGAGGCTTCGCACGTCATCATTTTTGGCTCCTCCCCCAAATGAAGCAAGCCTCGACACCCCCTTCATTACTCGACACGGGCTTCGAAGTCTTGGTACATCTCGTAAAAAATGTAGTGTAATATTCAAAATAGACACTTTCTAAGTGTTTTACGTTAACACTGTGAATCAATAACTGCTCATTTTACTCTACAGTACTGTCATAGTTAAAATAATTCTTGACTATGTTGAAACATATCTGGATTTTTTCTTTCCTCACCAACACGTGAATTTAACACTTTTGAATTTGCTGTGCAGTTCTAGTTTAGATTTGGCTGTTCGTTCATCTGCCAATTTAGTATATTACTGTTTAGTTCTGGTTTATTCTCTATATTCGTTTTTGACCTGGTATTGCTATGGTCATTGTTTAGATCTAGTTTAGTCCTTGTTTAGTGCAACTTTAGGCTGGCTCTACACCTGGTTTAGTCCCAATTTAACCCCGGTTTAGTCCTGGTTTAGACTGGCTTTAGACCTGGTTTATTACTGTTTATTCGGTTTAGGCCTGGTCAGGCATTAATTCAAATACTTTGATTGAAAATATGAAAATTGATTTGTTAAGGTTAATTTACATTCATTTGGACTGTGCAGTCAGATTATGCTTTTTCAACCAAACCTGAATGATGCTTTTAGATTGACACATGACTTAACCAATTACAGCCCAGCAACGTTGCTGATCAACCAATCAGAACGCATCTTCGTAAAATTGACCACTGTGGGTGACTAACCAATATTACAGAGAAACATGTAAGTATTGTCCTTTTATTTCTAATTTTGTTTGACCTTTATCCGGGGCAGACGTTGTTAATTAAAATCAAATTGTTCTAATTGTTTTTATCTGCGCATCTTTCGCTCATGATTTTCGGACGTGGGTTAGGGATGCAGAGTCATCCACGCGTCTGGTGATGGAGACGGCTAGTCGCTACGTGAATTGCCCAATAATGCAGTGATGTCAACGTTATTCTTTATCAAAATGTTGCAATATAGACATTCAATGCTAACAAATACATTAAGACCTGTGACTACGAAAGTATTATTATTGTAATGGACTGACGGTTCAAACCGGCATGCCACAGTGACAGTAGTGATGCTATTTCTCTTTCTGGTTTGGTTAGGCTATGCAGTTGTATTTAGGCTATCTATTATTTTAGACTTTGGGACAAATTAACAATTAACATCTTGCATAATGTAGGCCACAGACATCAATAACTTAAACCACAACATTGCCTATTTTAACATCCACACATAAAATATGCCTGTGATAGACAAAAATAGATATACATGAATTTCATCTCGAAAAAGGGATTGGAAAACTCAGTTAGGCTAGGTTTCCCTGGTTAGATAAAATTTAAATGTGATTGGTTGAGTCTACCTGTCTACCTGTCACTCATTCAGCATGACAGAGCCTGACCAAAGAGTAAATGTGTGGGGTGTATGCTGAAAATTTAACCTCACATTTGCCTGTGTTTGAGCTTTATAGTGCACCAAACCAAAAGCACTGAGTAGTGCATTCTCCCTGTCAGCAGACTTCCTCCTCCTCTTCTTCTGTCCATCATGGCGTCCGGAGCGCTGTTTCCCAGTCTGGTGTCAGGGTCACGGGGGTCATCCAGTAAATACCTTGTGGAGTTTAGAGCGGGGAAGATGACAATGAAAGGCAGCACGGTGACCCCAGACAAACGTAAAGGTCAAGTCTACATCCAGCAGACAGACGACTCTCTCATCCACTTCTGCTGGAAGGACCGGACCACAGGCAATGTGGATGATGTAGGTAACTCTTTAACACGGAAAAAAAAAACCTAAATATAAGTTATAATGAGTTGACCAAAAAAGTGTCCTAAATCATTAGATGTTGCTACAGAAGCAGTAGAAGAAGATTTTCCTAACCTTTTTTGTTTTTAGGACCTGATCATCTTCCCTGATGACTGTGAGTTTAAAAGGGTGAACCAGTGCACCACCGGACGAGTCTATGTGCTCAAGTTTAAGGCAGGATCCAAGAGACTCTTCTTTTGGATGCAGGTGTGCATGAATGATAATGATTATTGTTTTATTGATCCAGTTCTCTTTTAGTGTTCATTTTTGTACATGTAAGTGTATTTGTGTTTTCAGGAGCCAAAGACAGATAAAGATGAGGAGTTTTGCCGTAAAGTGAATGAGTATCTGAATAATCCTCCTATGCCCGGAGCTCTGGGCAGTGGAGGAGGAGGAGGACATGACCTGTCTGCTCTTGGAGGTGAAACATGGAATCTACTTGTTTTATGTACTTTTAATATTCATTTAAACTTGTTGAGCTTGTCAAATCCAAACTCTTGTCTGTGCTTTGTGAAGGGGAGGGTGGCCTGCAAAGCCTTCTGGGAAACATGAGCCACAATCAGCTCATGCAGCTCATCGGACCCACTGGACTTGGAGGCATCGGTGAGACAAATATTGCACTAAAACATAACATTTAAAACATATGATAATTTTCTTATTATTTTATCCAAAAATGACTGGACTGCCCTATTTGTGTTTTCTATAGGAGGTCTTGGGGCGTTAGCTGGTCCAGGACTGGCCAACCTCCTCGGCAGCAGCAGTGTTCCAGCTGCCAGTAATTCCTCCACAAGGTTTGTTTTAAAGTCACTATATTTATGTACAGGTATAGCAGGAGAGTCAGTATTTTGATATACTCAGAATATGTAATTACTGTGAACTAGTTGAACCAAGACTTTGGTTTGATGTCAGCAGAGCAGTGATATAGAATGTGATGACATCACATTCTATATCACTGCTCTGCTGACATCTAAAAGACCAGCTCGCCCAGAAACTAAACAACTCCAAGCAGGAGGTGGAGTAGCTGAAGGTGCAGCACCAGGATGAGCTCAGTGCTCTACAGAGCACTGAGGAGAACAAGAGGGCCCTGCTGCAGGACAAGATCCGGGAGCTTTCTGAGGCTCTGACCTCTTCAGAACAGAATAACGCTGCTCTGAAGAGACAGAACCAGGAGCTCCAGGACAAGATTATGACCTAGGAGGAATGCAGGGAGAACATCAATTGAAAGAAGAGGAGAGGATGGTTCTCCCGGTTCTTCTGTCGCACTTAGACCACCTGGAGAATTGAATGTACTTTGAGAACTAAAAAGTTCTCATCGTCCATTCAATTGAATTGAAAATGGTTTGATGGAACAATTAGCTCATGTATGAATTCTTAAATTTGTATTGGAGCTAAGGCTAAATGTTTTCCATTCTTACCTTTTCATTAATGTTTATTGCTATTAATTGTTATTTGTTATTTATTTATTTGTTATTTTATAACATTATTTAAATAAATAAATATAATTTTATTTATTGTTTATTGTATTAATGTTTTCATATAAAATATCACTCCCCTCGAACTGCCACCTTACCGTGGTGGGGGAGTTTGCGTACCCGAATGATCCTAGCAGCTATGTTGCCCGGGGCATTACGCCCCTGGTAGAGTCTCCCATGGCAAACAGGTCCTAGGTGACGGGGCAGACTAAGAGCAGTTCACAGCACCCTTATGAACTTAGAAATATCGAGGACCGTGACGTCGCCCGGGATGGCGCAGTCGGGGCCCCACCCTGGAGCCAGGCCTGGGGTTGGCGCCTCAGGCGCTCAAATGGAATGTGAAGGATAACATCACATTCCCTAAATTCCCTAAATTTTAGGGAATGTGAAGTTATCCTAGGATAACTGAAGTAAACTCCCAATGTTTCAAGCTAGTTTTATCACTTGAAAATGGCTTCTGGGTATGAGCTGAGTCCAGATGAACACTGATGAAATCATCTCTATGCTGAACCTCAGACAGACAAATGAAGGATTACACCATTTTTTGTCCTTCACTAGCCAAAAACATAGATAATAAATAATGAATTCCCAATATAATGCTCTGTTTATATCTCCTCTACAGCCCCTCCACCGCAGTGACCCCGACCTCCAGCTCCACTGTGAGTCGCCTGGGCTCATCTCAGGTGCCAACCACACCCATCACCCCTTCAGCGACCACAGCCTCCTCTCCCCCTGCCTCCTCCCCCTCCACCCCTGCCGCACCTCCCGTCACTGCACCGGCCTCCAGCGCTCAGCCCATACAGCTACGGGACCTGCAGAGTATTCTAGCAACCATGAACGTTCCCGCCACTACACAAGGAGGTGAGCGGTGTGTGGAGAATCAGGACTAAACCAGGTCTATAGTAGGCTACACAATGAATACAATTTTTATTTAATGGAATTGGTCACCTTAAGTGTTTTAAAGGGCTTTTAAAATTAAGGTTGCTTGATCGAATTTTGATCTCAATTTATATTGAGATCAAAAATCAAATGATTGAGAGCCTAATTTTACATACATTCTCCAAAATGACAATTTCTCTTTATTTATATATTGCACACATTGCAGTAACATTAAAGTGTCAGTATTTTCTGGCCCCTACTTAACTTGTCTATGATAATTAATTGATGTAATAAGTTAATTCTTTCAGTAGCTTTTTGTTGTCTCTCTTGTAGTGGACCTGGCCAGTGTTTTGACCCCAGAAGTGATGGCTCCACTCCTGTCAGACCCTGAAGTACAGCAGAGGCTCCTGCCGCACCTGCCATGTGGGGAGTCCCTGCCCCAGAGCCCAGAGGAGCTGCACAATACTCTCACCTCTCCACAGTTTCAGCAGGTCTGTCAGGGTTTATGGGAGGGGGTTTTTGAGCTTTGTGATGGTCAGGTTGTTGGGATATATTTCCCAAACTACACACAGAATGATTCACAGTGCTTTTGAAATGTGTCTAATGAAATTCGTTTTTGTGGAGTACAAAATTGCAAAGCAGTCACCTCACATGGCTTCACAAAACTGATTTTCTAACTTTCTGTTAGTCGAATCAATAAACATTGAAACAGTCACTGACAAACATTTACAAGAAACAAGCAAATTGATAACTGTCCCAGAGTGCCCCCTGAGGTCAGTTCGTTATTTTTTTCCTTCACACAATAAATATGTTTATGATGAGCTAAAAAAATAAATTTTTCTAATGCTATGTAACTTTTCAGGTAATTTCACTGAATTTGACTTTTTCATTGCTTGATGGATTTAACTGTGAAACCTTTTCTAAAATCCTTCGGCATTACAACCTAAGAGTGACTGAGCAGCTGTGTGTAAAGCTGAACATTGATCTAATTGTTTTTAATTTTATTTAGTCTTGAGGCTCCTCCATGTGGTACATGTAATCTTGTATGTGTCCTGTCTGCAGGCTCTGAGCATGTTCAGCAGTGCTCTTGCGTCGGGGCAGCTGGGGCCTTTGATGAATCAGTTTGGTTTGCCACCAGAGGCCGTGGACGCAGCCAACAAAGGAGGTCAGTTAAAGAGATATTTCCTGTATTTCATATATCCATCCAAAACGGAGCTGCACAGTATATCACAAAATCAGAGTGATCAACCAACACAGCATACATTTTTCTCATGTCAGATTTGAAAAATTGCATTATTCCATGTTAAACACAATATGCTCAATAGGCTAATCAAATAGCTTCACAGTCCTTTCCAAGCATGACTATATTATATATATATATATTATATATTATATAATGATTTTATATAAAATAAAATCAAACTTTTCAATTCATACATTGCAGTTGATGTCATCAACATTCCTGGGGGATGTGATGATAGCTGTAGGCACTGCTCTGTGTAAGGCCTGTTAGACTGATCTTTCTTTAAACACTATCATAAAGAAGCAACTTGGCTGTAACTACAAGTTAGCTAGCTTTAGCCAGTTTTTTCAGTTAGTCACTCACATTTTTCATTTTTGTTGAAAAGCAAACCCCTGAAAATGTGTTGTTTAAAACCATTTTGTGTGTGTGTGTTTTTTTTGTTTGTTGTTGTTTTTTTGTTTTTTTTTGTTTTTTCAGACTAGTTTTCAGGCAAACTTGAAACTTATTTGACAGGGTTTACCAATTCAGGAAAACAATGACAATTTAAGGGATGGGTCAAATGCCGATGACCTTAACAGTATCATATTTTTACTGTAGATCGTATTTACAAAAGTGTTGTTTGAATTTTGTTCCAGATCTGGAGGCGTTTGCCAAAGCGATGGAAACAGAGACTAAGTCCGACCAGGAGGCCTTCAGTAAAGACAAGAAAGACGATGATGAAGATATGAGTTTGGATTAGGAATAAATACAGTTAAGCAGAGATGTAACAATACTGGCAAAGTCAAAAATCACAAAATCTATGACATTTTAAATATATACATATATCCTATGGTGAGTTGAAAGTGAACTGTAGGTAGGTATGAGAATAATTACTGCACCAAAAACACATCATTCCAATAAATGCCACTGGTATGTCGAGATATATGTAACTTTCCCCACCAAGAAAAGTTACGTAGTACACTTTTAATAACAACTGATACTTTGCAGCTGGTATCATCAACATTCCCTGGGAGTGTAATGCTAACTGTAAGCACTGCTCTTTCTGATGCTTGTTAGATTATAATCTGAGCTGTTTTAACACAATCTAACCATAAAGATCTGTCTTAGTCTCTCACACATAAAATTACAGTCATAGATAGCTAGGGTTAGACAACTTTTTTTTTCTCAGTTTTCAGATGATTTTAAAACTTCTTTGACAGAGTTTGCTAACGCGTACTCATTGTGTCACTATGGATCCACCACAGAGACACATAGAACACCCTCAGCTTGATGTCACTGTATCAATATAAAGCCTACAGCAAAATCTCAATATTGTTACATCCGTATGCCTAAGTTATTTATTTATTGACTGTGACTGCTTCCAGTACAGATTATTTATTAACATGACAAAGACACTACAGCTGAAAGCTCTGATAGTGTGTGCATTTTATTTAAGGCATGCAGCCATCTGATGTCTGAACTTCTACCACAAAGGAAACTGTTAATAAACTAAAGTATCCCGGTTTGTGTTTGAATTGTCTTTTTGTATCTGTTATTGCTAACACTGGGTAGATGTATGGCTAGTAAAAACAAGATAACTAGAGTAATCAGATAACTCGCTACTCGATAATTAGCCCTGATTTGTGGTGCACATGTAAACATAGCCAATGTAAGTTAATTTACGACAGCAAAGAATATAGCATCTGTTAATATGGAAATAAGTCACAAATAATGTTTAAATAGTCTTCATTTCGGAATGGTGAACACTCACATTTGACACCACATGTACAGTACAGTATTTTCAGACAGATCTCTATTGGCAGACACATCGAAAAACATGTAGAAGGAACAATAATAACAGTGTCAAAATATCATGTGATGAACCATTTGACCAGAGGCACTTTCCTTAAAAGAGACGTATTATGCTAATGTAACTTTTATTAGCTTTGAACCATGTTATGCCATTTGTCATTACCTGTTGAAAACTTGTTTCATTCACACAACTTTGAATAAGATAATTTCTTATGCAAATGTTAACGATTGGTTTTAACTCAGTACAGAAATATTTGTAAAATCTCTCTTGCGTGCTTAAATTGTCTTTCTCTAATTTCTCTTCAAAATGCAAATTCCCCAGTGGTAATAAAGGTGTAAAAATTAAAGGTGCAACATGTCACTTTTCAAGAGAAGAGTCCACCCTCCGTTTGCCTCCATAAAGATGTTATTACTTTGCTTAGTATCCTTAAAAAAAAGGAGTAAGAATCCATGTTTTACAATGTAAGGTGCTTTTGAATATAATCACCTGTAAAATATAAATAAATATATATATATATGCGCTAAATAGATGGGTTTAATATATTGTAGAAAATTTCAGGCAAATTAATAACATTTCCATCGAGACAAGATGATGATAAAGTTACACCTAGTGAAAAAGTGCACCTTTCCATAACAACACAGGTATAGACATGAAACACTTGCAAATGTGTACAACAGTTTTAAGACAAAATAAAGCATAATATGTCTCCTTTAAGCACATTCCAAATCCATTGTATTGTACCGTTCATACTATGAATTATCGAGTGGCACTTTTAATGAAGGACGCAACAATCATTATAATGTTAATAAATAATTTCTTTGGATTTGCTAGGTGTCAATCAAAACAAAATACCTGAGAAAATAAAATATGGCACAAACAGACATTTCAGTGCATTTATAAACACAGATTTGCATTACATTAAAAATCTAATTGGGTACTTCTACATATAGAGGTGGGAGATACATGAAAGAATGTTTTTTGTACTCAATATACTAATTTTGCATATAGTCTATAGTTCGCACAATTAAAATTACCTCAAAAAGACAGACATCTAGTGTAAGTTAGAAAGTGATATTTCTACACTTTTGTACTATTTAATTGTGTAGTTCATTCATGTTTTGTGCTACACTCAACCAAGACATTTTTAGACACATTTTAGCACATTTATGAGGAATTGCTAAAATACTGTTATCAAAACAATTGTAATTTTGTGTTAATATCACCCACCCCTACTTCTGCAGACCACAGTGAATAATACATTTAATAGTGACACATAAAAACACATTGAAAGGTCACTTGTCTAGATAAAAACTAGCATCTTACACACTATACATATGCTCAAGTGAAAACTGGTGTCACAGTGGCTTCAACTTACAAAATCTACAGTATTTAATCATCAAACTCTACAAATAAATACGATTCAAACTGTGCAATCACTAGAAAGGTGCAGATGGCAGGTTTTCACACAAAGAGTAGTACCAAAAATACATTATTATGTCACCAGATATTTAAATAAAAGCACAAGTAACGTGCCGAGTAAACTCTCTAACATAGAGCTCATGAGATCAACAACAGAACACCACAAATGCTGAAAAGGACGTTCGCACTTGAGTCCCAAAAGGAATCTAAAATATTTATGACAAAATTACCCAGACCACAGTATCTTTCCTATGATTACAGTGAATGTATGGTCTAAATCAGTGCTAATTCAGGTTTAAGATGGGGTTAAATCAGTCTAGACCTGGTTTAAACAGTATTTTAAACTGGGTGTAAAGTAGGATTTCTTTACCAGGTCTGCACCAGCATGTCAACAGGACCCTTCATGAAAATGAGACATTAAGTCTTAAAAAGTTGACCTGTATAAATAAAGGATTAATAAAAAGGACTACAGCAGGCAAAATCTAGGTCTACATCTTCCAAAGAGTGGTCTAACACCACAACCAGGGCTCATGTGAATAGGTTTATGTTATTCCATTTTATTAACTAGGAGCCCATGTCTGAAACAGAATTTAGAAAGAATAGGACACACTTATCCACATACTCTTGCTATAACCAGAGCTTAAAATATGCACTATGTAACTTTTCTGGCCATGGGTCCACCATCTGATAGTATCCATGGAGATATTACTTTGCCTAGAATGTTCCAGACAGATCACAGTAACGATGCATGTTTTCAGGTCTTTTTAATTGGATAAATGCAAGATAAGTATAGATATGTTTAATGCCATATTGTGGAACATTCCCGGCAATGTTATACCATCAACATGGAGACAAACCCCATCACAAACGTTGCACAGAGCACATTTTACTAGATCTAAACCAGATTTAGGCAAGAATCAAACCAGGACTAAACCCAGTCTAAAACAGGTCTTAACCAGGGACCATTGTGTGTCAACCTTGGCATTTCTTAACTTCATGCTCCTTCATCAAGTAACAAATTATGATAGATTTGGAGAGGTCTACCCCTGCTGCACCAGTCTGCGGTAGTGAGGCATGACTTTACTCTCGGGGAGGTACAGTCCCATCTCCAAGGCAACAAGCACCGGGAACTCTAGAGGAATCAGCTCCCGCCTGTTTATCCGAAAACGCTCCTCCAACTTCTGCTCAAGAAAACAAAAGAATTAGTTTTAAGGTCATGTGTAGCTCAACGTCAGATAAGATTCTGTTCATGGGTTTCATGCAAATGCTTCCTTCCCAATTTGAATAATTTTGTGAGCACCTTTCATCATTCACAAAATATAACATTTAAATTTTAATTGTGTTATTGCTATAACAATGGGGGACCTTTTACCTGAAGCCCACTCTTTGGACTATTATATTCAATTAAAATTAAAAAAAAATATTTTTTCATTGTTTTGTTTGCTTACAAGAAATAGGACAAATTTCCCCAAAACATCCTCAAAATGGTGATTGCAACAAAAAAATGATACCCGTGTAGACCCACCTGTGGGTTTCAGAGTAATGATAATTTTCCAACGTTTACATGCAATTAATCACTAAAAACTAGAAATATTAAATATTTTGGATTGTAAAAAGTGCTTAAAATAGCACCTATTTATTATTATTTATAATTGCCGATTTGTCTCTTTCATTTAATTCCTCAGCTTACATCAATGAGTTGTTTGACTTCTGGCTTTCTCAGATCACTGCTGATCTTTGCTGCAAGCAGCACACACGTAGCCGCCACCAGCTTCCTGTTCTGTTTGTTCAGGCGACCTTGAAGCACCAACTTCTCAAAGTAAACAAAGGCCATCGCTATGGTAACCGGCTGCAGACTGCACTCCTCACTCACGGCGCGCATTTCCCTCTTTAGGCTAAAGCAGAACAAACAGAGTGTAGCATGAAACAACATACACACACAATTCTACAGAAAGGCTTAGCTAAACAATTACGCTATGAGAAAGAGTCAAAGTTTTAGTGTATCCATTTTAACAGTAGGTCTATAGTTTATTTAGAGCAGCTCAATTACTGATAATTGAAATCATGATTATTTAAAAAGGTAGGGTATGATCTTACAGAGTTAAAAATGAACTACAGCTGACCCTGGGTTGCCAGTGCTTTAACGTGCATATAGTAGAAACATACAAGTTTTTCACATTCTCATTATGCCTCATGCCTCAAAATTCACAACCTCCTGAATTCACTGAGCAGCATAGGCTGCACTAGCACTGATTAATAATAGCTTAGGTAGTGAGGATTCAGATCAGAAAAACTCCTTTTAGGCTTAAACCAACTGTATTTAGTTATAGGAACTGGCAATCCAAAGAGGTTCAGCTTGGATAATCAACATCCACAACTTCTTTTGAGGCCTAAAATGTACAGAAATCATATTGAGATTGTGACTAATGAAAACTGTATTGTTGCATCTATATTTAATATTAGGAAACACGCTTCAGCCCACATTTTTGACTGTGATTGATCATTTATATAAATATATTTAATTAACACATATTGTCTTTGTAGTAGACACAATAGGCAGGTACCTTCTTATTTTGCTGAGTGTGAGTTTGATATGGGGAAACTTCTCCTTGAAGGTCTCATTCATATCCTTTTTCAGGTCTGAAGGTTTCACATACTCAATAACCGTCGTCTGCATAAAGACACATCAGTAGTTCAGCAGTTTGAGCAGCTTAACCCTGAATGAAAGAGCTTTAATGTTTGAAGTGTTTGTGCACTGTACTCTGGCTGAGAGCTGCTGAGCCCTGTGATAAGAACAGTACAGCAGCAGTGTGATCATGTGATGTGAATGGGACATAAAGGCTGCATTTTGTAATACTTCACTTACAATAAACATGTTTATTGTAATGACTTCTTGTTTAAGAATAAAAAGAGTTCAACTTTGGACTGGCTAGATAAAAAGAGTAGTCTTATGATACCACGCATTTTTCTAGCAATACAAATTCATAGGCCTACATAGTGATAAATTATATCCCGTAGAGGTGAAGATGGAGGTAGATACGCTTAATGTCATGCTGTATTTTAGGCAAAGCAATTACATATCCATATAAACAGTTGGCATATTTTCCACAAGAAAAAAATAAACAGTGAATCATCAAAATGAAAATCCTTCTTACACACAAACAAGACCATTAATCTCAAGGGTCATATCCTCTTACTTAAACATGAACAAACTCAAATGAATGGATAATCTGTAAACACAACATATCCAGACCCTTATACTGGAAAGTATCACAGCAAGTGCCGGAGTGCGAGTATGTTCATTTTAAGAGTGGGGACTATATCCAGATGCATTTTAAACATGCATATTTTACAAATTTTAGTGATCTTATAATTTCTCACCACATATGATGCAAAGATGAGCACTCTTTTATGTCTCCCACAGGGCCACTGGGGGTCACTGAGGAGGTTTGGGTCGTAGTCTGTTTCCTCTGAATCTGAAACACACACTACAGTCAAATCTACAAGCACAGGACCACAGCTAAACAGTACTTGACAGTGATACTATCGGAATAATAAATGGTTGTTTAGAGAATAGTTTTAGAATATTAAGTAACTAGTTCAGGGTAGTGTCAATTACCACACCACAGGAGTGTGGTGCAGGAGGCACACGTTTTTGACAATGTGGGGTGGCGCTTTGTTGGATGTAATGGACGTGTGCTCATGATTTTCATTTCATCCATAACGTAATGTTAGAGCACGCATTCATTATATCCAAACAAAGCACCACCCCACAGAGTCTATAATGGTTCATGGTGCTTATCTCCTTTGTCTGGAAGGTTCCACAGTATGGCATTAAACAGGTAGGTTTACCTCTCCACAGATATAACCTGTTACTTGGCCTGGTAGCCTCTCCATGGAGCTAGATAAGTTTAATGCCATACTGTGTAACATTCTGTGCAAAGAAATAAAATCTTCCCTAGTAGTTAGATCGTCTCCAAATTGCCATTAGCTAGGATTAAGAAATACTGAAAAAAGGCTCTTCCAACCTGTTTGTTGTGTTACTGACAAAGTCCATCATTTTTAATTTGTTAACTGCAATTTTCCTGCCTCCATCTCACAAACTTTAAATATTAAACTGAATATTTACTTATGTCCTGTGTTCCAGAGCTTGGGACTCGGGGGGTGAAACTTTTCTGTTGACTGTTGCCGCGGGAACGTGTCTGAGGCGTTTGGGCTGTGGAGGTCTCCGGGAGGCTCTTCTGTCTCACCAGAGCGTTGGTTGGGTACAAGAACTGGGCGTACGAGACTGTCTGAGTGGGACAGAAATGCTATTTTACTGGACGCAATTAACAAATCTCTGCTAGGCTGCAATTTTTTGAAATGCGCTAAATTCCTCTACAAACCAAAGCTACATATTCTCCAGATATCAATTACGATTATCACATTAAGTCTATGGTTATTTTTATTGTTGACTAGTCACAATTTGCTCTGTGCACAGCAGCACGCTGTCACTTTTATTAAAATTGTTAAATATTAAATAAACAACCTATTAAAATTAAAGTCAAGACTACCCAATTGTTTTTATGTGTAGAATACTTCAGTTTGTGGTGTTGTTTCAATATTACCATTTTCTAAACACAGAAATGGCCTTCAGTGAAGTATTAATTTCATTGGTGTAATTTTTAACATGTTGTCAGTCACATACACCCGCAATTCAAAGTCAAAAGGCTTATCTTTAAATATTTATTAATTTTAGCACGATTCAGCAAAAACTCCATGGATACACAATTGGACAGGAAGTAGTGACACTAACAGTGTGGTTGCTAGGCGCTGTTGTGCACAGAGGCTATTAACCGATTAATTGCTGCAGTCCTAATTATCATAATGAGATGATAATGGGAATGTGTATTGAGTCTTTTCCTTAGTGTAAATATTTGTATCATGGCAAGACTTGTTTTTGGTGATGCTTAGTTGTACCTTTCCAGACACATCAGGGTCCATTCCTTCTAGTGAGGGCATGAGGTCAGCAGTGGCCACAGAGGAGAGTCTCTGTCTGTGAGCATCCATCTTAGCCTCACTATTTGAACACAGCAGCACAGGTAACAGATAAGTAATGAAGGAACATTATACTGTATAGGAAATAGGATGGAGTAAGCATGTAGGGTTAATCACAGGTTCAATTTTTCTTTCAAATTGATAGATTTTTTATTTTATTTTATGAAAACAAAACAAAAGGGCTTTCAGTATTAAATTCCTGAACTTAAACATGAAGACTTAAGCATTGCCATGTTTGTCTGAAATCCAAACCACAAGCTTTTACTGACAGGATTGGCTGTAGACCTCTTGAGTAACATTACCCAAGCATATGGACAATTAGAAACGAGCTGCACATTATTTATCTTACTTTATCCTTTGTGAAGTGCAGCAGACCCGAACTTCCGCTAAGACATGATTAGTATTTTCCAAGTATTAATATGGAAACAGAGCACCAAAATGCATCTACCCCTATTATTGCAATGACCATGCTTTTTCCAAACTATTACCATGCCATTACTGTGTTATAAGGAAAAATATAACTCAAGTGTTATTAAGCATCAATCAAACACCATCCAGACAGACAGTGAAAATGAGAGACAGAGGTGAGGCTGAGGATGGGATGGGCTCTTTGTACCTGAGGTGAGCACTCTCTCCATACGGCAGCACTGAGAAAGCAGCATAGAGCGACCTCTTGGCACAAATCAGCATGATCCTGGGGACACAGCAGTACAGGCAGACAGAGCACATGACAGGCAGTCTACACACATCTAATATCTGTTACATCTACATACTATTATCCAATATCTTTCACATCTACAGACAACTCCAGGCAAGGCTACTTCAGCACTGCACTACAGGCTACAGAAGACAGGGACAACAGTAGCTATTAGATGCAAGTAGATACAAGATTAGCCGCAGTTTGCAGTTTGTTATTCAAACTGGAATACTATTTAAAAAGACTGACATTTTTGAAGTATCATAATTTCCTCCAAGATCAAGAATATATTATCTTGTATTCTGTAAAAAAAACTGCTAATCATGTAGTTTAGATCTGTACAATCATGTTCTTCCATTAGTTTGTCAGTTCATCTTGTCAATTCTTGCATGCATTTAACATGTATTTAAAACATGAATTCTGAGAGACTCCTATTATATAAATCACAAATCTAAACGCAATGCTACATTTTTCCCAAACTGCTCAGCTCTAGCTGGTGTGTTTGGTCAGACATAGCATGTTAATATAGTATATTAGATGCATGCATGGAAAAACACCGTAGCTCTGGTAGGTCCATCCCTTGTCATTTGTTCTCACAAGCAAACTCTCGAAAGACTAATAACTTTGCACATTTCTGATTAAAACTTATTTGTTTTACATGTATGGTAAATGCATAATTGACTGGTAAATTCAAGGATAAATTCTGGAATACTGGCTCTTCTCCAATCTGAATGATTACATTTTACAAAACAACCATTTCTAGTTTCATACATCAGTGGTCATCTCTGGGAAATGCAGGACAAGCTACAGGCAGATATTTATACTTCATGTTCACCTTCACAATATTTCCATAATACTCACTAAACCAACAACCCTAAATCTACCAATAAGAGTCTGCAGCCTGCACCATGGGCCCTCAGCAATAAACCGCTGTAAGTAAACAAACCAATCACATGTAATTTCCACAATAACATAAGAAAACAATGTGACACATGTATGTAACATCTATGTAACATGTATATGACTAGAACATGCAGCGTGGGCATGGAATGAAATGGAACAGTGTCAAACAGAAAGAGAAAGTGGAAGTTGATTTTGATTCTTATCCTTTTATATTTTATTATTATAGAAGTTAGAGTAGGGCTAATATTTTAAACACAAATCATCATAAATGAGTAACACGCTAGTGTGGCTACGGTAGCTACATGCTCCTGTGGTATTTTGGTCCTGTTTGTCATTGGTGTTACTTCACTGTTGATGCAATATGGTGTTAGATTTCCACACAGCACCTTTCTAGGCATGTGCTAAGCTTCTAAGGGTGATTCAATTCACTGTAGCAATCTGCCCTGAGCAGCTGTGACTCTGTGTATGGGCCAAACTCTGTCTGAGCAGTACCACGGATAAGCAGCTTATTACAACATCAGCTCAATGAACAGGCCTCTGCTGAGCCAGTGTGTTTCTAAATGAAACCATTATGTGTCACTTAGAGGAAGCCCACATGTGTTTATGTGTAAGCATCACTCACCTACATCCTCTAGTGTCATACTGCCTTATGCTCCGGATAAAATGGACCTTCTTTGGCACCTTGGGTCCAGGCGAACCAGAAACATTTCTTGACCTGAAAAACGGAACATTAAATACATATTTTTAATTGATGAATTCATTGATTTGAAAGATGGTCATCATCAGGCTTATCTTACACATAACACAGGCTTCTTTTAGCCTATGTGGTAACGGTTCTTATTATGCTTTATGCACGTTGTAAACACTGGCTCACCTTCTCTGTGCCTCTGGGACACTGCTGGGAGCCGGGCTTAGAGCCGGTCCCGTCGGGGCGGACTTGACCCGGGCGCACGGAGCCTGTCCAACGGAAACGAGAGGCACGGACATGGGAGACATGGGGACATCGGGAAGCAGAGCCTCGGCCGCAGGACCGCCCTCCAAAAATACTTCGTTGGCCCCGACATCGTCGGTCCCCGCTGGTCCGGGAGATATGACCAAAGATGGTCTGAGCGGACTGACCACGCCGGAGAAGCTGGAGGCAGATCCGCTGCCACTGGCGCAGAGCTCGGTCACCTGTGCGCCGCTGCTCCGGCTGCTCCCGGGCGCGGGTGAAGACACAGACTCGCCGCTGTCTCCGTCCTGGCGTCGGGGCTCTTCCGCGGCTGTCTGACCGGCGTGTCCATCGCCACGCTCTTGATGCGGACGTCCATCGAGAGAGATGTTTGTGAGAAACGAAAGTGCCGCCTGTCTCCGCCGGGAGTCCTTGGCTCTCCTCCGCTGCTCGAGGGTTTTCGGTGTTTTGTTGCTGGTTGACTGCAGACCGCACACAGCGGTCGCCATTCCTCTTTGAACCGAGGCTGCGGAGCGACAGCACAGAGCCGGTACAGCTGCTTTAGCCCCGCCCTCCGGCCGCTATTGGCGCACACACACGGAAACGTGTTACTACGTGGCCCTGATTGGACGAGATATAAATATGCCAACATATGTTGCCTCACACGCGCTGATTGGCCAAATACAACAGGAACCAAAGCTATTCAATCTGATCAAAGCATATGGCCTAATTAATAAACCCAATAATAAAATCAATTTATTTGGACAGAGAAGAGAACAGAAGTCTACAACTATTCCCTCGGATGCTGAACAATGTTCCTGATTTCCATCCAAACATTGCCTAATGCCAGCATTTCCTCTAGAGTAGTATCCTAAATAATGTATCTCTGAATTATTGTCTTCAAAATCATGATTGATTTTGTGGTGTTTATTTGTATGTAGCCCATTTGTTGGGCATCATGAGGATTGTAATCCCAACAGTGTGAAACCTACATCTGTGAGGAGTGTAGAGGCCTGGATTAATACTGCTAATCCACAAGAGATGAGGGACTTCATCTCAAAGAAAGAAAACTCCAGTCCAGTAAACACATTGGTCTTTATTCAGAAAACAGACTCATATAGTTGTCACCTTGATGCTCTGAACAGCACAGTCTGGTGTGACCAGTTTAAGGCTTTGATATCTCCTGTCTTTGTGTTTGAGGTACAGCTCTCCACATATTTAAGGTGTTACCACTTTGTCATCTCAAACAGTTAGCACCAGATGAGCCTAAAGGTTTATTTTACTGCAATGGAAAGATGACTGTGCTATGTCTATACCAAGTCTTTTTCTCAACTGAATCTGCAAATGAAACATTTTGTTTTATATGCACAGGATTACTCCTCCACATACACCATACACATGCTGGTATGTGAACCCACACACGCAATATCTTTGTGGCTATTCTATTGAAAACAATGTTGAACACAGCATCATGGCCCTGTGTCATAATACCAAACCTACTCATGGGAGTCTGAAATATATTTTACATTTTATCAGACAGATACAGTACATTACAGACAGTGCTGTCCTTCTGTGTTCTCTCTGTTGAATAGTTTCATTTACACAGAGTTAAATAAGTGCCCCTTTGCCTTTTATGTGCACAATGGAAACACCACTGAGTGATTATGGCCAAAAGAACTGTGATGCTGTTCAATACAAGCAGTACACGTTTGAATAAAGGTGTCTCCTCCTAATATAAAAATGATAGTGGCCCAAACACAGCTCATAAAAACACACAAATCTCTTTTCTTCACAAAACAGATCATACCACAAGAATGTAAGCTACCCCAATGACAGCATGATGATGCTCAAAACCTTTCAGCAAGAATCACATTTCAAACATTTTTTTTACATTCAACTCAAAAATCATTTCTGAATTTCCCTTTCACTTTTGAAGCAACCTTTTCAGAGGCTTTATAAAGCTGCACTGTGTAATTTTTCTGGGGGGTGTATGTGCCTGCTTCTCTCCATGGAGATGTTATTGCTTTGCTTGGTTCCACAGTATGGCATTAAATAAAATAAATTAAATTTACTGCAGTATAGGTGTTTTCTTTCTATGAGTCTCTTCACCTCTCCACAGTACTGAACTATAAATGCCACTTGCTTGTTTCAGGGACATTCTGGCCAACGCAGTAACATTTCCATGGTGGCAAGCAGGTGGCGTACCCTCCACAAGAAGATACACAGTGCACCTTTAATCATGAGTGGGTAGTTATGGGAAAACAATGTCCACTATTTGTGCTGTAATCACTGTAGATTGCATTGAAAAATACAGTAAGGTTCCCATTTTTGCACACCCTCTACGGCTTTTTATAAGTTGTAGCTGCCATAAATAGTCATGCATGACGAAGGCCTGTCTGTGTTAGTCTAAACACTTGATGCTCTAACGCCTTCATTTGGAGAACTTTCTGCTTGATAGTCCACACTGCCACCTGTGCTCTTTCCTTCACAGAAAAAAGATTTGCTCTTTCTTATAGGTTGGGTTCATGGATGTCATAACATTAAAATCTGTCCATATTTTCAAACTGAGCTGGAAAGGTAAGAATTGTTAGGGAATTTGCTGTTTAACCACCTACTTGTGCCCATGGAGATGTTATTGCTTTATCTGAAATGTTCCACAGTATGGCATTAAACTCAAAGGAGGTGAAAAGGCGACGCTATCCAGCTAAGTTACAGGTGAGATCTATGAAGAATGTTTTTAATGTTTTGTTTTAAATGAATAAAAATCCCTGTGATTTAAATTGATGTATCACAGATAGGTGTAGTGCCATACTGTGGAACATTCCTGTCAATGCAAAACGTCTCCATGGAAACAGAAGTTATATAGTTCACCTTTAACTCAAAAATGCAGTTGTTTTGTTCTGTTTTATATCTATGCAATTAAAGGGTTTATTCACATGAAACAAAAACTGACACAAAGTTCAGCATTTTCTGTCAGCAAAAATTAACTAAGGTGATTTTTTTTTTTTCAAACAGTGAATCGCCCATCGCGTTAATAGACCCTTGTCATTCATCTGAAATTATGACATAAAATTCCAGTCATGAACGCAACCTATTGAACAACACTTGACCTGAGAACTTAAACAGAAACGTAAAAATGCAGTTTGCACCAGCATCACAAATAAAGACACTTGCTGCTTCCTGCTCCATTGGGCCACTATTCATCTGTGGTCCAGGTCGGTCCAATCTGGTCTGTTCCAGACTTTGTGGGCCCGGAGCAGAGTCCTCCTCCTGCCATTTTGGGACAGGGCATTTTACACATAAGCCTGTAATATAAGTCTACAGCATTCACACTGTTGTTTCATACTCCATCACTTCTTTTGGCGTACCCAGGCAGCGGTACTGTATTTTGGGCGTGACCGGAGCAGCGCTTTCAAGAACCAAGATGGTTTTCCGCAGCCTCCGATCGATGTAGTGTGCATCCCAGGCAGGGTACTTTTTTCTGGGTAGGTCTATCCGAATAACTGGGCCTTCTGTCCTTGGAGATAACTGTTGCTGTGGAGGTACCAGAGTTCCACGGAGAGCTCTGACTTGAAACACATCTCCATCTATACCACAGCCCTGCTCCGTGGCTTTAGTCCGTTGCAGGGTCCTAGGTGGGCTGCTTACAACATCAGGGGGGTGGCTGGAAGCGGGAGAAGCTAAAATCTCCACGGGAATGTCCTCTTTTTCTACAATATAAGTCCAACTAGACACTGGTCCATCGGGGTGTAGCAGATAGTAATAGACAAACATGAAAAATGTGCCCAAAGCATAACTACTGGCAACCACGCACACCAAAACAACAGCGTAGAAGTCAGACATTCTCAAACCGCGATGCAAGTACCAAGCCGTAGTAAGAGCCACGTTTTCTACAAAGACGGTTAAACTGTAGATAAGCAGACGACAGCGAGTGCGCCCCTCTCTCACACTAAACCAGCAGAAGATATACACGATTCCCATCATCATGTTGTAGATGATCTCCTCCCATTTGGACATACAGAAGTCAGTCTCGCCTTGAATGATCCAAAATGTCATGATGCACCAGTGCACGAAGATGAAGATGCCGAAGTAGAGCTGGAACACGGAGGCAAAGAGGGCGAAGGCCAGAGTGCGTGCCCCGATAGTGAACAGGTGCCACAGGATCTGCACCAGCACAGATTTGTAGGACATGGAGAGTTTGTCATCGCGGCTGTCACGGAGGACTTTCTGATATGACGCGATCATCCAGGAGAGGGAAATGAGTGAGGCAGTGGCAGATAGACCTAAAGGAGGAGAGGAAAGGAAGAGAGTCTATTAAAGGTCCTATATTACACAAATTTGACTCTTATGAGCTTTAAGACATGTTATAATGTTGTTACCTCATCAAAATCTAGAGTTGTGTTTTGTTTTATTCACACATGTTTGAGTAATCCTGCATTATTAGTCTATCCACATCTCCAAAGCTCAGAATGCTCTGTTCTACCTTATCATGTCATGAAGCTGTAGTTTTCAATTTAATGGCTCCCTTTTACATTTTATTCAACAGAGATCAGCAATTCCAGGGCTGGTGTATGAAGTTTAAAAACATAGTGGGGCATTGCCTGTGTTACCACCATGATGATTACAAGGAGGTTTTCAGTTTGAGAGAATCTTAAATGTGGAGTATTTGTGTGTTAAACATGTGTGAATGAAACAAAACACAACTCGGGGTATGGTTTGTTTTGTTATAACATACATCAGGAAATAGCAGAATATGGGCCATTTAACTTATGAATGCTGTGTTTACTGTAAATTGTCTAGTTTTACTGTAAATGGTCTGCTTTCTTTTCTAATGCCTCAGGAGTGTTGTCACATCATGTGTCTGTTGTCTATTAGATTTAAAGACTCCGTACTTGTTATTGTCTGAAAAACATGAAAAACTTAACTACTTTGTTTTACACAGTCTGCAGTGGTCCAAAGTTATTCCTCACTTGCCTCATGCATTCCACACTTAGTCACTGTGATAAGTTTATATGCACTTTTCAAATATTGCAGAAATTATTTATATTACACCATGGATGTGGACAAGCAAAACCACAAGGACTCTCTCAATTTCAAGAAGATCCAGCTGCGGCCCCTCTATGGTGTGGAGGCCAACCCGCTGTCTGAAAACTGGAGCTCCACTCTGTCACATCTGGTATCAGTAAATAAATGTTTTATTTAATGTAAACAAGTTAATCACTTAGAATAACTACATGGTTAAGGTAGTTAAGGTTACAGTTTGGGTTAGGGATCAGTAATCAAGTATTAAACAAACCAGATGGAGCTAGTGGAGCTGATCATGCATGGTCGTCTCCATCGGCTGTAGCCAGGTTATTCTCCTCAATATGAACAAACTAAGGTGCTCAAATTGTAACTTGCATACGGCCTCAATAAAACTAGACCCAGGCCTGTCACGATGACAAAATTTTAAGCACAATATATCACTACAGAGAACTATTGCGATAAATGATAATACTGAAACTACTTTATGCTACTGACACAAAGCAAGCTAATGCCAGTAGAAATTTTTTGCAACAAATAAATGGCAGAATGAAACCATATTTAGCAACAGAAGTGATTTATTCAAGCCTCAATTGTATTGTATTACATACTAAATGGCAAAAATCTCCACACTACAAAGAAAATGTACTCACAATAAATACTGTGCCCTAAAATATATTCTTCTAGCTTTCATATATGAAATGGAATGGGAGTCAATAAAGTACTTATTAGGGATGTAACAAAAACTGACATATCATGATATCTTATCATCAAAAGTCTCACAGTGACATCGTGGGCTGTCACAATATATCAAATTGCAAGTTTTTTTGCTTAACTGCATTGTTTTATAGTAGCAACAGCTTATGAACATCAGAAAATACATATCCCATGATTAATTTCAGTGCAGGCAACATGAAGAAACATGTTTTTTACTTGAATTCTTGGGATTGTGATGGAAATAATTCACACCAAAATCTTGTCAAGGTATTTTAAAAACGAAAAAATGTCCTATCTACAATTATATTAGCCTCTCCAAAATATCACAATAAATATCATACCGTGAAATGCATATCGTGATAATATTGTACCGAGAGAGTTAGATATCATTACATCCCTAGTAATTATTGTGACAGGCACTAACTAGGTGTATACAGTGCACAGTGATTGGCTCATGACGCTCACCTTGGAGGGGCAACACCTGGTTGGCGTAGATCATGATGCTGAGCTGCAGTACCAGCTGGGGGGCGCTCTTGAGGAAGGACTCAAGCAGACGGAGCATACTGATGTCCGCACTCTCAAACATCATCCTCCAGAAGTAGTGTCTGCGCTCTGGGTCTGTGTGCCAGCGGCTCTGCACCCCCAGGTATAAGGCATGGACGTACCTAAGGATGAGAAACAAACTTACTTCACTCATTTGTCTTTTTTATTTAATTTATCTTTTTAGAGCAGTGAATCTGAATTTTTTTTTGTTTCGTACCCCCCCAGGTAATGTTTCATATGCCAAATACTCCCTAATGCAAGCATTAGAGGAAAGTATGGTGCGAGTTAGTTGATGACTTGGGAATTAATCTACCTTTTTAAATATAAATATGCAATTTCCTTAGACTTTTCTGTTTAAATGGTTGTTTCACATAAACTCCTATGTAGCTGTAGTGTCAGTTAAGGTCAAATTGTAAGATAATATATATCAACAGGACATCTGTTTAGCTCACAACGAATTTCTTTGGTTAACTCCAGCCCTACTTCATACTGGTTTAGAATTCTAATTTAAAAGGATGTAATTACCATGTACATAATTGCCCTATTAGTTACTATGCTTTTATTGTGCTGCTACATCATGTTGTGTCTTTTATAGTATGTCAAAGCTACAGAATGATTACATTAAGCTGACTGGTTTAAAGAGAGCACTGGTTGCCAGGAGGCTGAGCACATAAGTGTTGCAGTCTGTGCCTTTGGGAGAAGGGTCAGATGAGCCCCGTGTCAACAAGCACCAAACCACAAAGGAGTCTGTCTAACCTTTTTTTTATAGTTCTTAGGGCCAAAGTATAAACCCTGGGTGTCCACACTCCACACACTCCACACACACACACACACACACACACACACACACACACGCTCCACACATACACTCCACACAGACACTCCACACAGACACTCACACAGCAGGCTGCAGTGATGTGACCAAAGACCGCATTGCAAAAAGCATAGGTTAAAACAACTTGAATTCAGAACACTAATTAGGGTTGAGCAATTAAAGTTTTAATTGAATCATGATTAAACAGTTAATAATTTAAATACAAAATATGCTTTTTAATCAAGAATTCTTCAGCCAATCCCTTATCCATAAAAGTATGTTTGGACTTGGTAAATGGTCACATTTTTATATAGCGCTTTTCCACCTTCAAGGCACTCAGAGCACTTTACATCAAGGAACTCACCAACTCGCACACACATTCACACACACTCATACACCTGTGTGCACACTAGAGGGTGAGATTAACTGACGTTAAGTGTCTTGCCCAAAGGCACGATGACAGCATTTACCCGTGGATCAGTAGATTTGACTGTTCTACCAATGATGTTTATGCATGATCTCCAAAGATGTCATTGCTTTGCGAGCATTGTTCCACACTATGGCATTATACTTATATCTCACAATATCTTGCAATAATTAAATTATGTGCATTTATATGGCTAGAAATATTTTGAATAACATCCATTCTTAATGTAAAGGCTTACCTCTTTACAGATCTGACCTGTAACTTGGCCTGGTGGAATAGTGTACCTTTACATCGTGTATCTTTAATCCAGTCTAAAATTTGATTTAGCGAGTGAAATATTCTTATGTGAACAGTGAATTCAATTCATTTAAACACATACTATTAGATCTGTTACGGTAATTACTATATTGACTTATCATTCAATATATAAAAGCTGAAACAATATCTTTTGGGGCTCAATATTTATTGGGTGTACATTTTCTTTATAAAAGTGGGAAGATCTGGGGCATTTTTGTTGTAATACAATAACATTTGAGCTGCAAAGGGTTGACTAACTTCTATGGCTAATTATTGGTTCATTCTGCTATTTATTTGTTTCAGTCTAAATAGTTTCAATATGATTGTGTATCTCAATATATCTCTGTAGCGATATATCGCACTTCAGACAGACTGGTTTTTGCAGTGTACAGGAGGATGCACTGTCTGGTCTGCACGCACTGTAACACTAGCCTGATCCCAGCTCATGTGCACCGCTGACATTTAATTCTGGTCACTGGCCCAAAATTGATCCCGGTTCACCAACCCAAAGGTATATCAGTGACAGATCATTCCAAAGTTAGCAACTGAGGCCACAACACACCCATAATCCTCTTAGTAAGCTCACACACAGCTCTGAAAACAACAAAAGGGATGCCACAATGTCCAATTTTAGACATTTTTGTGAGATGGAACTCCAAATTACAGACAAACAAACACAGTGAAACCCTCTATTCACTATCTAAAAGAATACAAAGTAAATTTCCAACTTTATGATAAAGTAATGACATCTCAAAAGAAAATATTCACTTTACATTTTCATAAGTTAAAGATGTACTATTCCGCTATCTTGCTTGTCTCCATGGAGATGCCTGGAATGTTTCATGGTATGGTATTAAAACTATAGCACGTGACTTCACAGGTTCAAGTTACAGGTTAGACCTATGGAGAGGAGACACAAAGAATGCATAATATTCAGAGTATTTTTGAGGAATAAAAAGACATCTAATGCAAGATGCATATGTTTAAAGCCAAACTGTGGAATGGAAACAAGCAGGTAGCAGACACCTCATCAGTAATGTTACATAGTGGATAAAAGAAGACATCTAGGCCTATAAAATGACATATATTGATTAATCCCTTAACAACAAACTCAGGAAATAGAGGCTTTAATGGCATGTTGTTCTGTAGTGTTGTTCTGTTCCTACAGTGTGCTCACAAACTCATACTCGTCTCCAAGAGGAAATAAGAAATCAATACTGTCTACAGCGGCAGAAGAGGCCACATGGAGACTAAAACAGGGCCATCTTTGAAAATGCAATGAATGAACCCTTTAGGTTAAATGAATTGGGACTTATTCATCATTGTGATCCTATAAAAGTGTTCTTTAGCCTCCTCATGCCTTCTCCGTGACTGTTCACTTAGATCCTGCTCTGTGCTGACAGCAGTTCTGTCTGTCAAAACTAATGAGAGCACAGTGAGGCTGAGCAGTGACCTACAGACCCACTGTCCCTGAGAGGCTGCATCGGTGTGGCTCTAACTCAAGTCTAGTAAGCAACATCTGTATGAATGAGGTTTATGTATTAGTTATAAAGAAGAGTCATGGTGGTGCACAGATGGGAGAGGCAGATATAGGCATGTCTGTGTCTGACTGACATCCTCCCAGTGCATGAAAACGAACATTTCCATTTTCCTGCAAAGGGCAATTGGTTTGGATGAGTTGACCGTTTCCTCAGGAGATTATTGACCTAAAAGCCCATCAGGGCAGAGCAAGTGTGGGTGGAGCCTTGTAGTACCATAAGGAATAATGTTAAACAACAGAATGATGCTTCTATAGTATATTTTCTTTAAATTACCTCGCTATAAGCATTTATGTACATTGGGCATATCATGCTGTCAATACGGCCAACAGAACAGTACAGTATAGTACAGTACAGTAGTCTAATACAGATACAAAGGGAAATGCCCGGCTCTGCTCCTCCGTGAACACCTCCGTGAACACCTCCGTGTAGCAGCGGCTTACCTCCAGACCTGCGCCAGCTGAAAGACGTGGATGATGCCCTGGAACAGCCACATGCACACACTGCAGCAGCCCGGGGCTCCACCCCCGGTGCTCGGGCCGGGCTCGCCGCTGTCCTTGGGGCTGGGGCCGCTCTCCTCCGCTCCCGATGCGGCGACCACCGCAGCAGCAGTGCCGCCCTCCACGAAATCGTAGGCGACCCATCGAAAGCTGAGCACCTGCACAACCAGGGACGGGACAATGATAAAGATCAGAGTCACTGTAAAGAACCAGTAGTCCCTCCGAAGGAAGTAGTCCGCGGTCAGCCACAGGTCTGAGGCCCCGTCCGAGAAGAAGACCAAAAGGGCGCACAGGGTCCAGCAGAAGTCCGCCAGAGAGTAGCGCTGTTCGGCGGGGCGCTGCGGGAGAGGCCGCACATCCGACCTGGGAGGGCACTCTGCTGGGTGCTCGTTTCGTACAGAGACGGGTGCACCATCAGATTTCGCGGCCATGTTTGTTGTAGGGAAGAGAGTGAGTAAGAGATGGGAAAATGATGGAAGGGGGGAGGGGGGTCGCGCAGCCCGTCGGTCTGTAGCCGAGCCCTCGCCTGAGCATGATGTGAGGAGGGAGGAGGGAAGAGGAAGAGGAGGAGGGGGCTGTGGATGCGAGAGATGCCACTCAACACTGCGCATCAATCAGCCGCTATAATGAGCACAGGGAGCGCAAATAGCGGAAAACATGCTTTCTCACGGTTCTAAAAGCACCATTCGGGAATATCTGAGAGCACATTTAGCATTATCAAGGCCTGTTCCTATTGACGCACAAGAACTGTTATGGAGTCTTGAATGGTGTGCTGCTGAAACAGGCGCATTCATCACATCTGGAACCGCTATTTTCCTATCCATTATATATTAACTTAATAGTAGTGTGATTTGATAGAAAACACTATACATTGGATGTATTTTCTTAATCTAAATTACATCCCATCACAGATTTTACCTTATTTTAGCATTAGGTAAATAATATAACCCCAATTTATCCAGTTATGAATGCAAAAAAAGACAAACAAAATAATGAAAATGTACTAAAATTTAATCATTCATAAAAGTTGGAAAATCATCTGTGACAGGGTAACACAAGAAGCAATATTAGAATTGGTTTAGTACAATATATTTAAGCTCAAGACAACCACCAAACAGCACACCCCCTCAGTCTATAAAATACTAATTTGTCTTCGCTTTATTATGCAAAAATGGAAGTAGAATAATATATTATTGGGATATGGGAGGGTTGCAGCTCTGAATATAAAACAAAGTCACTTAAGAAAGATGCTGTCAAATGCATCTTTATAAAGTAGTAACATATGGACTAGTATTGATGCATCTCTGACACAGTTAGTGCAGTAATGTATGACAAGGCCAACAGTTTCACATGGTATTCTTTTGTAAATTCACAATTACCAAAGTTAATAAAACGCTTGAGTAGAAGATTTTGAATTCACGGTCTCTTTTTTTAGTTTTTTTACATAAATTTCCCAAAAAAGCAAGACACGTCGGAGAGGAAGGAATACATTTGTCAAAGGCCGACAATACAAAAAGTGGGAGAGAATTTCTTTGCAGTTAAAAAAACAGAAGTTATGTGCCCTCTCCTGCCTCGAGCAAGTGGTTTTTCGGTCAGCCTTTTCAAATATGTTCTGGAGAGCATACACTGGCACAGTCCACTGGGAAATAGTTCTGTAAAAAAACAAATATATATATATATATGATTAAAACAAAAATACTATGTTTGAACATGAAAGACAAAAATTTTAAGTCGAACAGTTATGTTGTCATAATAAGAAAAATGATTATTACAATACCAGTGTGCCTCTTTACAAATTCAAACGATAGACCCTTTAAAAATCTGTCAATTAAAAACATTCTAAATTCTGGAATGGATGCAAAAGTGTAACATACTGGGATTTCAATAGGGAAATTAGAATTAACTGCTGAATATCACAAAATAAGAAAAATCTAAGGAAATTTGGCAAATGAAAGACATATACATTTGAGATACATTCATCCTGGTTTGAAAACATTTACAATTGTGTTTTACAATGTTTATTATACAGGAGTTTATGATAGAGTCTAAGCATTTTTATGAAGGAAAAAGGTTTTACTGGACAAATACTTAGAGAAATGCTTAACCAACTATGTTTTCATTTTATCTTCAGATGTATTACAAATTTCATAAATTATACTTTATGTGAAATGCAATCATAGCTTGAAAAATATTTTTTTCCAACCTTATTAACACTTTTCTACCCAGGAAATTCAGAATATTTTTTGTAATAAAGACTTTAAACTGTTAGCATTTAGACCTGTTAATCAGTTAATTATTGAAAACATATCATATTTTACTTCAGTTGGCTCTAGTTGCATTCATTCCTGAATTTCAATTTTGATGACGTAGCATTTTAAAGGATCTATATATAGCTGAAATACAAAAATATATAAATATATAAGTCTGAAAACGAAAGGATTTGAGACATTTAAAAATCAATTTTAAATGATCTTTTTTGTTGCGACTACATAAATCTAAAATTATAAACAAAAAAAGGAGTGACACTTTTTGTCTACAACAGCAGAGGGCGCTGCAGCACCAAGTACAATGTAGTTGAAACTGTTGAGACTTGATGTTAAAAAGGATTCTGTTCACACTTACAGCTTTGAAAAAAATGGGGTATATGTGTAAACAAAGAATATTACACATAACAGATTACTTTTTATACACCAATATGGGGAAGCAGCATTAATAATAAAATGTTGATATTAACCAACAGCATATTAAAGAGGCATTATGTAGTGTTAGCCATGTAATCTGTAGCCTGCCACCTGGTGTCTCCATGTTGCTATTACTTTTCCTAGCATTTCCCACCATATGGCATTTAAATTATCTTACTACTTAAAATCCCACTTTCATTCTTACTGTGAGTGGGGTCGCCTTTTCACAGATCTGACCTGTAACTTTGACTGCTGGAGTCACCAGCTTGTCCCAAAGGAGCTAGATAAGTGTAATGCCATACTTTGAAACCTTCCAAAGCAATAACCTCTCCATGGATACCACAGGTGGCAAAAGTTACATTACTTTAATTATAAATGACAACAACGATTATGAATGCATACATATTTCTTATATTTTCCTTCCACTGACCTGTCCTAAAGGGAGTTTAGAGCAATGTGCAATTTGACTTCTTTTTGTTTTCTTTTCCATCGGCGTTTTTCTGTTGATCTGCCGCACCAGGTCGTAGAAAATCTGGACACAAGAAAAGCGCCTCCATTTAGTAAATGTAAAATGAAATTCAAAAGACCACAGATGGTTTAGTCTCCAGGGCCTCATCACTCACCTCATTTACATTGATCTTTGATTTGGCTGAAGTCTCTAAAAAGGCACAGTTGCTCCACTGACGGGCCAAATTTTGCCCCTGCTCCTTCCCTACGACACGCTCGTCCTCCAGGTCACACTTGTTTCCAACCAGGATCATCGGAACCTGAGGAAAAACATGGAATCATTTATACTGAAAAGACTGTCTGGCCGAAAGGCTACATTGAACAGAAGTTAGTACAATGGAACTCAACAGTGACTATCCGCTCTAGTTAGGAAACAGACTTTTAATAAAGTTGTAGACCTTGTGGTCATTGCCATAAAGGCTAAAGCATGTCTGTAGATATTGCTTAAAAAGTCAGTGGACAGCATGGAAGGCAGAACTATTACTTGGTAGATTATAAAAGAAAGTTATATTTATATGTATTTCATACATCATTAGCACTTTGCCTATTTAGGGCAAATTAATGTCACCACATTGAAATCAATAAGGTTCTGATGTTCTAATGCATTTTATCATGCTTCCTGGTGTAGTTAATGGTGAGAAACATGTTTCTTTTTACAGTAACTGGCACAGTAAAATGTGACATATCGACTCCCCTCCAGTGTGAGTGGTCTGAAGACTGAAAGGTGCCACTTCTTAACAGCGCTGACATTTGCAGCGTGTTACGTAGACACCCCCCCCCCCCCCGCTTTGCCTTCTCTCCCACCGAGCAACTAAAACGAGACACATCAGCCTCAGAGGTCTCGAGAATTATATAAAGACGCCATAAAGGTCATTGCCATGGAGATTCTAGAAATATAATGACCTGTGGGTTTCTTAAGTTGACAAAAGTACAGTTTGTGGCTTTAAGCTTTATAAATGGCTATTTTTCTATAACTCTAATCAATGTCTACTGGGCTCTGAGAGCACTTTACCTCAAGGAGCGATCTTAAACATTCAAACAGCAGTGTACAGACAGTGGAGGGAAGGCAGGTGAAGTATCTTGCCCAATGAAAGAGAGGAGGTGAATGGATTTAAGTATCTGGGAGTTATTTTAGACTCAAATTTGAAGCCCACATTAAGAAAATGACTAAGACCATAGACTGTTTCAACCGTGTATATCAAAGCAAGCTGCATAGGTGTGTATGCATGCTATGATTTTATCACATTACATTGTCTCGGGTTAGGTCACAAAATCTGTCCTGAAACCTTTTGTGTCATTGCATAAACAGACACTTGAGGTATTTGCTTAAAAAAAAAAAATAAAATGCGTAATTGCAATATTATTCAAAATTTGACTGAGTCAGTCCACGTTCTCAGGGAAAGATTCACACTTGTGGAACTCTTTGCCACTGAAGCTGACAGTCACAGTTAGACATTAGACTTTTCTCTACAAAACTGAAAAACTGACGGAAAATCAACAGTGTGGACACTAAACTGCCCTGGGATATAGAGTGAAGTCAGTGAAATATAGACCAATTGCAAACAGTGTTCTTTAACTGTCAGAGATTCTCTGCTTTGCCTAAAGGCCTTCAAGCATTATATAGAATGCCTAGGCAAAGTAGAGAATATTGAGCATTTCATACTTTGCCATTTCAGGTTTTCTGAAGAATCCCTAGGAATTCTATAAAATGCCTGATTTGCCTGTAATGCATAAATCTATAAAGCTGCACTATGTAACTTTTCCACTGGAGGGCCAGCTTTAACACTTCTCAATCTTAAGCATTTTTTTTTTATTACAAGGTGATTCTAATATTGTTACAACCCCAAAAAAAGTTTATACATTTTAAACAGATCGAAAGGGAGTGTGGCTTACATCCTCTGTATCTTTTACTCGCAGAATCTGTTCCCGTAGGTCCTGGAGGTCATTGAATGTTGACTGTGCTGTGATGGAGTAGACCAGAGCGAAGCCTTGGCCATTCTTCATGTACAGGTCCCTCATTGCTGTGAACTGCTCCTAAAAACAACAAACATACATCCAACTCAAACAAACAGCATTCACTTTATTTACAGATATCTGATAACCTGAAGACAACTTACGGTTCCAGCAGTGTCCAAGATTTCAAGCATACACTGTTGTCCATCTACCTCAACTTGCTAATTCCACAAACAAGAAAGAAAAATGCTGATTATTATATGCATTTGCTTTCCATTTGTAACCTCATAATAAAATGTAAGCGTACCTTTCTGTAGGAGTCTTCTATTGTGGGGTCATATTTCTCCACAAAAATGCCTTGCACAAACTGGACTGTCTAAAATTCAGAAAATCAAAATGTTAAATCTACTGCCTAAGCTACAATGATGTTACTGCCATCAAATTATTAAAATAATTCCTAAAATTTTAAAATAAATCCTAAAATTTTAAAATAATTCCTGTGGGGGGGCAATATGGTCCAAAATGTATCTGTCAATGTTTGTATCATGCCAGTGATGATTTTTAGAACAATATGGCAATCCATCAGTGGTATGCTACAATGTGTGTGCTGCACAAGTCATGGTTAAGGTTCAAATATTGCGAATTAATTGACAGAACATTAAACCTAAAAAGTCTTGCAAGAACGTAAATACATCTCTGTCAGTATTGTGTTTAAAAAGGAATGTGAATGCAATGTTAGTTAATGTACAAAAGAAAACAAAATCACCATTTTTGGATTGTGCCTGTGTAGTTTGGTTTTAATCTTTGCTGCCTGTTTTTAAATTGTTATTTGCAATACACTCAGTGCTACATTTAATTTCTGCATTTCTCCAAAACAACTTGTGTATGTTAGTGTTACATTTTCATACCTCCCACCTTCTTCAAGTATTTCAAAACTACTGTTGCACATATTGCTTTTAACTTAAGCTTTCATGAGAGTCGTATTATGAAATTTGCCTATTTTAGCAAGTAAGTATCTCTGATGAAGTCTGTTGTAATATTGCTTTTCATGTGGCATACTTGTCAAAGTTCCCTTGGGACAATAAAGTACAATACCAGTAAAAGTCAGACTTTGACTTTTACTGAAGGCATCAAAACTATGAAGGAACACATGGAATGTAGCAAACAATAAATACACTCAAAATAACTTCAAACTTGTATTAGATTTTTTTAAATGGCCACACTTTGCTTTGCTCACCGCTTTGCACTTTTGGCATTTTTTGCCCCAAATATGGCACAGCTGTGACATGAAAACCATTTCATGTGAATTCATCAAGAAGCTCACTGAGAGAATGCAAAGGGTTTGCAGTGCTGTCAACAAAGCAACAAGTGGCTACTTCAAGGATTTGGATAAAAAATATATAAAGAAATATAAAGAAAATATAATATATGATATATAATATATATAAATATATAAAGAAAAATATAGTCAACTTTTTTCTTTGCTACATAATTCCATGTATCTGTTTTCTGTGTATATATAAAATGTAGAAAGTGGTACCAAAAGAAAAAAAAAAATACACTGAAAAAGAATGTGACTAAACTTTTGACTGGTAGTGCACATTTTGTTTGACTGATAGAAAAACATTGCCATGTTCTAAATAATTATACCGTGTGCCAATTCTAAACATATTTTACGCTCAACAGCAATAAGAATCCATATTCCAGTAAGACAGATGGAGGTCTTACCAGTGCAGATTTGCCAACTCCTCCAGATCCCAGAACCACCAACTTGTACTCGCGCATTGTGGCCAATAACACCAGACAGCACAGGAAACTGAGGGAGAAAGCAGAAAAAAATATTGTATGAAAAAACTGACAGGTTGGATTATATATATTTTATTAAAACACACTTAAAACCATTCTATAAGATTTTATTTCCCAGTTGGATAATTCTTTTTTAACTTCCTGGTTGGAAATCATGGCATCACACTAGGAGATTCCATAACCATTACCTAGCATCTATGTAGCACACTGTTTTGACAAAAAAAGACAAAAAAATTATAACACTTACTTTTATTTTCTTAAAATAATGTTTAAAGTATCAGAAAAAAATGCTTTTCCTTAGCCTGATGCCATCAATATGGAATGCTCTAAAATAGACCACTCTACTTCCTGTAATTTTCAACATATTTTTCAACTTTTCTTCCCAAATTGCTTCTTGCTCATTGTAAAATCTCCATGATTGTTTTTTCTATATAGACTTAATGTATTTTCTGATTTGCAGAAGACATTCTACTACCTAGGTGTACACTTTTGCTCTACATGTATTCTTTTGATTTGACTCGAATTGCAATTTTGATTCAACTGACATTTTGTGCAGCCCTAATTCAAATTTGATATTGATACATTGCAGCTGATCATCAACATTTTCATTCTAACTGAAAGCACTACTCTGATAGATTAAAAGGTGTTACACAAGTTAGATTTTAATCTGACCTTTTTTTAACACAATCTAACCAGGAAGAGCTGACTTGGTTTAGAACTACAAACAGGTGAGATGATTTGTGCTGTTAAAACATCATCTCAAATTACATTTAAAAAAATCACAAGCTAGCTAGCATTAACCAACAATTTTTTAGTTCGTCACTCTCTCATTTTTGTTGAAAATAAAACTCTTAAACAGGACCATGAATGTCTGTATTAGGCACAAGCTACTGTTGTTGCTGTTGTTTAAAAACATCGTGTTTTTACCAATGTGTGCATTGTGTCTTTATGGTAACCACTGAACATTCCTCCAATAGAGATACATGTAGAACACCTTCAGCGTGATGTCACAGCAAAGTACAGTATCAATATCTTAGCCCCAACAACAATAATTTAACATTTCTACATTTAATGACAGAAATCTCAAAGTTGGTTTCTGATGGCATAAGACTCACTGTTAACACTGTTAACTTCTACTCTACAAACAGAGAAAAGTGGGAGTGTTAACATGAAATGTAAATATGAGCTTTATGTGAATACGATTGTTCCTGATTACACTGGCCTCTGTGGCAAGTCGTCAGATATGGAATCAAATATTCCACAAAAAGAACTCTGTCACACTCGAATGGCATTTGCAATTCTAACTACGACGTATGAAGCACCATCAGAAACCCACCAGAGCCTCCACAATGAGCCTTTGTACTGACCCTCCTCTTCTCCACCGCAAGATCTGCACAATTTATCAGCACAGACCTTACTGACATGCAAACAAATACACGAAACCTTGCTAAAATATTTATGATAAAAATATTAAACAGTAATAAATAAGACACATGGGTTCCAATAATCCTGTATTATTCGACTTTGTCTTATGAAGTTTTGGTTACTCGTTTGGTATGGCAAGTACTGATATACTGAAATGCAGTTTCAAATCAGTTGACAGCTTCTACCACCATGAAAGCCCTAAAGGGAGGCGTTTACACATTAATTAATTTAGACTTATAAAATAGAAAATGGACCACTCAAATTAGCAATATTTACCAACTCACCAACATAACAAAATCTAAATCACCATGTGTTACATTTCCCCAAATATTTCAGACACATTTTCCATTTAAGAAACAGGAAGCAAATTTTGTGACAACCAAATAAGCAGAAAAAGAATATTTAAATATCACACACAAAGACCAGTAAGCAATACCGTATATAATATAGCATATGTCAAATAAAAGGTTACACAACCTACCTTTTATGTACACAGCGCCTCAGATATCAGTCCCTCTACATCTGGGGAGGGGGGATCCTCAGCTACACAGAAGCAAGGCAAAAGATTGATGGTCAATGATCTGCAATAAAAAATAATCAAATTATTATATTATTCATTTAAAAAACATTACATCAAAACAGTTGAGGTGTAGTATACTAAAAGGGGCTGGGGCATTGGGAAAAGCTCTAAAATTGATCACACGCTCACAGAAACCAATTATGTAGTCCAGGAGTAGATGAATAAACTGTTCAGTCACACCCAAAACTCCAGATAACTCATTACATGTATCCTTCTTTCCGCTGTTGTGTACATACATTTTTATAATTGTAATAAAGTAATAAGCTGATTAATCTGGTTGACTACCCTACTGACCAATTAATCAACTAAAGAACTACAGCTAAACAAAACACAAACAAAAGAATAATTGCTCGAATAAAACCACAATTCATTCATCAGCATTATGGGTGGTGACATATATTCCATTTAAACATTCATTTCCTTGCTAAGTGTCAGGAGGCAAGCTGTCACAGGTTCCAAAACAAACAAAAACTTTTCTTAAACAACTTGTTGCTGGCAAATACAGTGAGGCAATGTGAATTTTAAACAATGACTCAAAAAAGCGCCCTACATTTGGGCGCTTGGTAAGTGATAGTAGCTTCCACGTTAAAGATGGGAGAGAGGATGTGTCAATACGTCAAATAGCCTGAAGGGGCAAACTAGGCATCTGAAACTTTTACAACAGAAATGATCAACTTATAACTTCTTTTAAAATCAGTTATATGTGTATAAAATCAATGTGTACACGTGTATTCACTGTATGGACAATGGGCGTGATATAATAGAGTGACATAAGCATAATTTGAGAAACATTTAAACTTCTAAGCTTGGGTAGATTTCGAAAGGAAGGGTGTGGCTATTAGTTTCCAATTGCACTAGTTAACCACCACCACAAAGTTTTAAATACCCATTTAAATTCAATAATGTTAAACTTATACCAGACGCGTGATTAAATGAATAAAAGGCACACATAACAAGTTTGTGTACATAAAACTTGTTAGCGTTTTACGACTGCCAAATGTTTAGCATACGGTTAGCAACATGGGAGGAGTTAGCATAGCGGGACCAAGTTAATAGTTCAAATGAGAAATTAATTCAAGAACATTTTATATTGTATGGGTATCAATACATAACCGGGAGAGTGTGTTGATAAAAGCGCAAGAGGCAAGTTAAATCGTTTCACTTTGTAGCTAGCATTAACATGGAAGCTAAAGTTAGCCGCTAGCACTGGGCAAACTCCCCATCCACAACATTATAAACTGTTTAGGAGGACAGCAATAATCGCTACAGTAAAAATGTATTTATGGATCATCTTTTAGCAATAAAGATACACAAAACAACTTTAAGAACGTTTTTAGACCGACGTATGAATAATATTAGCAGATATTAGCTCCTCAAGTGGGATTAGCTTGTTACATGAAGCCCCCAAAACACTTCAAACTACAGTGACACGATTAGTCTTTACAATTGCTTTATAAGATTCATTATATTTCAGAATCATCGTTTAACATGAAAATAGTGCTAAGTGTCCAATTAACTCTCTAATAGCTAATTGAAATGCGGGGAAAGCTGTGGAGACACTCACCGACCGTGTTCCGCTGTGCGCTCTGAGGATGTGTCCAGATGGAAATGATTGGAGCAGCGTGAGCCTATCACTGCCCGCCCCAGGTACGACAACAGCGCACTACACTGGGGACACTTTTAAAGGGCATTTATTATGCACCTATGAGGCTTTTAAAGTACTTTTGCATCCCTGTGTTTGGTATTTCCTTTAGTATAATCTAAAGGTGCATTGTTGTCTTGTGCTTGTCCATTTATCTTCATGGGTAATAGTAATTCTTTGTGAAGCTGACACTCTTTTTTTTTCTGTTGCACTATAAATTTAATATGTTATGGACATTATTATTATTTTTATTTATTTATTTATTACCAAATCGTATTGTAAATGAAAAACAAGAACACATTATCCTTCGACACACGGTTCAACGTTCTGTCCAAGTTTCAGACAATTTGATGCAGGATTTTAGAAGATATTACATAGGCTATTTGATCATTCATAAAGACATGATAATACATTATTTACGTTGTAAATATAAGGATGAGTAAATCTGAGATTTTAATTACTGACAGACAGTAGACTGAACATTTCTTCACAATTTCCACTGCATTCATCATTCCTTTTGGTCAATGCTCATTTTCCACCGTCCCATAAACAAATACATTGAAAAAATAAAAATAAAAAAAATAAACATACCATACTATACTAATACATTTAAAGACTTAGATTAGATTTAGGTTTATAAAGGAGAAAAGTCTATGCAGAATGCCTATTAAAAACACATTAACATGTTGTTAAAGTTTTACTCTTTTTATTTGTGGATAAAAACAGTATCAGTTTGGAATACAAACTGATACTGATTCTCTCCATAATGGTTTGTTTGAAAACAAGTGGGTTATAGCTTCCCCTTTATGTTTTACATGCACAGGACTTTGATAGTTCCCTTTTATTAGATTGTTGACAGAAAGGAACAAATGAAGAAAAGTGACCTTTGAATTGTAAAGGGGTGAATCTCTGTTAAGAACATTAAATAGGCATATGTATAAACAAAACACTTCACAAATAAATATTTTTCAGCCACTATTGTGTTCCAGCTTCCTGGAAAATGCAACTTTATGTTGTTGTGTAATTGTTTTAAATTGTTAATCGCAGTGGCAACAGTCCTAATTTGCCACCATTCTGAAACCCATGGATATTCATTGTCACAATATGGTTTTATTTCTGTTAGTTACTTTCAATTCACTTTTAAAGCTTGTCATAACTGAGCAGATTTTTCCACTAATAGATCAATAAAGTTTTCTAATTCACATTTGTACAGTAGGCTACTGGTGGAATTGACCTAACAACAAGTAAAGCCAGTTGTGGGGATAGAACCATCAGCTGATCAGCTGCACCCACTGATCAGCTGCACATATCATAGTAAGTGGTATGTGCTTCGTAACACATATTTAGCTCCAGTAATGACAAACATACTGTTCTGGAGTCTGACATAGCAGGATGAGGGTGTCACATGGAGAGGAGGTGAGAAAGTTTGACTCATATTTTCATATTTTTAGATGCACAGTGTAAATAATCAGAGGAATAACAGATAAAACTAAATATAATGCAGGTAACTGTGGATTTGTTTTGCAGTTTGCTACAACACTTCAGTCTGTGAAGACATCACTTTAAAGCATCAGACTTTATGGTCAAAATATAGGAACATTAAGCATCATTAACAGAAATTATCTGTTCTAGACCCCATCTAATGTCTACGGGTTGGTATTTACCATTTACAGAATTAAGTGTCTGTGTAATCCCTCAGTTGTCCAGGTATGATCTATAGCAATCTATAGTTACATTATTCCAACACTTTTGATCAGTTTTTGCCCTGTTGACAGATATGAATATTCTTTTGCTATAGTTAAGTGCTGTGAAAATCAGGCTTATAGATTTCATTTATGGCTGTAAAATGAATTGACAAACATTATAGTTGGCCGCTTACAGCTGACCCTTATATAAGACAAATGTACCACCACTAATATTTGCCCTCTTTTAATTTTTTCCAGTTTTCTCTAGAATCACTGGTTTAAGCTATGACCCATCTCCCTGTGAAGCCCCTGTGAAGTGTATAGTGTGTCTCCACCTTCAGGGAGCCTTGAGGAACTACTCTAATTTCTTTCAGTCCCCATAAGCTGCAGGTGACCAACATTAACCTAACCACAAAATTTACAAAATGCTGAGAAGAAAGCTATACCAACACAAAAGCCAAGTGATGAGTGATGATCAATAACTGCTCAATAACCGGTATGCATGCATGGTAATAATAATAACACAAGAAAAGATGTTTGTAGAATAGGTTTAAATTTAGATACTGAATTTATATAGAGTAAATATAATACACACTTACTGAATACTTAATACTGTTACTCTACTGTGCTAGGGTGTAGCTTGGTGGTGGTTACTACATGGGGCCAAATATAGCACTGCCTGATAAACCAAAATACTGTTCAATACTATGATAAATCCTTTTGTGTTGAAAAATGGTATTTCGATATCTGTGGGTCTAGAGGCAGTGCCAATTTGGCAAACCCAGCACAAATATTTTATCAAAACATACAACTTCTGCTCAAATAGAAGGCCCAGGTGCAGATCAAAGATGACTGAGGGTGCATTCAAGGTTCAAAGGGGTGTAAACATAATACACTACCATTAAGCGGCATTATTTTAGGCTCCTTAAAATGAGGCCTGTTACATAGGTCTATTTTTATGTTTAAATATTATTATCTCAACATAAGTATTGAAACAGTTGCCATATTCCTCAGGTTTAAGTACTAGAATAAAAATAGAGTTGTTCTCCACCCTAGTCCTGAATTCACACAGTGCTTGTTCCGCTTTCAACAGGATGTGGTTCAGACTTATCTCTTTGTGCCTTTGCTGTTGAAGCTGCCTTGAACATGTTGAAGTCATATTCCTTGTCTGTCCTTGGCCTGACTCATAAGTGACAAAGATGGTTTATGGACACTCTCTAATGGATGCCTACTCTGCGTCATTAACATCACCTTCACCTCTCTATCAGAGAGGAGGCTATGGTTCAGGAAGCAGAGGTTAGCCTTAACAAAGAGTGGTATATATATATATATATATATATATATATATATATATATATATATATTTATGTGTAAAAAAAAAAAAAGAATACTGAGGTACAGTACAATACAATACAACATTATAATGACCATTGTTGAACATATGAACAGTATGCATAATTTTGATATATGTAGTTCCCTTTTGAGAATGTTTCTGCAACCGATGTGTTTTAAGGTCATTGTAATTGTGAGACTTGCCATCTGCTTGTCTCAGTGGATTTGTCTCTTATTATTTACATTGGAATGCTCCAAAGTATATCATTAAACATACTGCATCTTGCATTTATTAAATTTCCAGTGTTTGCATTGAAAAAAAAAGGTAATCTAAATATGCTTCTTACTGTGAGAAGGCAGTGCAGTGCCAAACATTGAAACATTCAAGGTAAAGCAATAGCATCTTCATGGAGACACTGAAGAAACTGAAATATCCCCAGTTCCCAATATTGACAGTATTAATAAATCCCTTGCTATTTAATTACGTTTACAAGCATTTACAAGTAATGGATTTCATCTTCTTGCTGTAGGTAACATTTTGAGGACTTTTCACCATTCAAAAATAGGGTATTTTGTTTTAATTGTTAACTACTATGGCAACAGTGCTAATTTTTCATAATTTTGAAATCCATGTTGTATAACTATTGTGTTAAAGTTGATAAGAGAAAACACAAGATTTGTCATAGAACAAAAGGGCTTTATTTTCCAATATAAACCTGTAACATCTTAAAGTGCCCTTGTTCTGTCCAGTACCCTACGTCAGGCTACATGCTGGGGTCACACATCAGCAGCATAGCTCCTTCGTTCTTCGCTACTTCAAAACCATGTAGATCTCTGTACAGCACACCAACACAACTCAGTGGAGACCAAGCCGTTTAAGTCAAATCAAGACAAATTATTGCTCAGATAAATAACCTATTCTACAAAACCGGGACTATTTATATTAAGAGATGCATTTACCAAACACGGAAAGTAAAATGTTTGTGTTATGTTTTTTGGTAACCCTTTATAATGTCTACACTTTAACTACCTGTAATAAAGCATGAAGAATGACACAATGAACAAATAGTTTATTAAGAATGATTCAAGCTATTTCACTATGTAACTTTTTAGGTGGAGGTGGAGAGACCTGCTTGAGATACAACTGATTTGCCTGTAATATCCCACAGTATGGCATTAAAAACATAGCTATCTTTATGGAGACAAGTAACATCATCAAGTCAAGTTACAGGTCAGATCTGTGGAGAGGCAACCCCACTCAGATAAAGAATTCAAGAATTTCAAGGTATTTTTTAATGAATGCAAAACCGATAGTTAATGCCATACTGAGGAACAAGCCAAGCATCTCCAAAACGTTACATAATATTCCTTTATTAATTTAGAAATTATTGGGTAGAGTATTAAGTACTTCTTAAGCTTGAATCATTCTTTAAAAATATTAATGCTTTATTAAGGGTAGAAATAGTGTAGTTATATTAAAGTGTTAACTATTTTTTTAAAAGGTGGGAAGGAGGCCTCAGAGGATACAAAACCTTAATAGCTACCTAATGCCCCTTATGCAATGCTTTAACATGCAGTAAGTTCCCAGAGAAGATAATGGAAATCCTTAACTTTCTTTAATGGGGCATTGTCATGATGTTTAAAAATCTCCCTTCCACCAATATAACGGGATCCCATGCAGCACACGTCACAACCTGATTTTCAATTAGACAACCACAATTCATGAAGAGAAAGAATAGAATAATATATAATGTAAAAATACAAAAAAAAAAAAAAAAAAAAAATCACAATTATAATTCTGGACACAAGTCAAAAGGAGATAGCACCGTTGTTACAAAAGGATGGGACAGATGGGACAGAGGTAAAGGAGGCCAAGGAACCAGACAATCTTTAAAAAAAATGTTTCTTCATATTTTTCAGACATCACTGATTGAGCATCTGACACAAATGTAGTCCTCTTTCTCTGCCGTT